CGTTCCACTTTCTTCGCATTTCGTTCCACTCTCTTCGCATTTCGTTCCACTTTCTTCGCATTTCGTTCCACTCTCTTCGCATTTCGTTCCACTTTCTTCGCATTTCGTTCCACTCCCTTCGCCTCCCGTCTTGTTTTCTCTGCATTTCGTTCCACTTTCTTCGCGCCGCGTTCTGTTCCGCTGTTGTGTTCTTTGGATTACGTTCCACTCTGTGCGCCGTCCCGTTGTGTGCGTCGTTCTGTCGTGTGTGCTGTTTGCTCGGTTTCGTGTCTCGTCTCCTTTCGTGTCTGTTTCTACTCTGTGCCGCGGCTCGGTTTCTCCTTGGTCTTACTTCTAGGAAATATAGGCCCCAATTACCTACTTAAATCCCAATTTAACTAGGTAATTGGGGCCTATATTTCCTAGAAGTCACAGTCCAGGCTATGAAGCGGCTCGCAGCATGAGGCAGAAACTGACACAGAAAGGGACGCGGCAGGCAGTCGAACGGCGCATGCGGTGGGACGGGGAACAGAGGAGAACGGAACAGCAAGAGGTGAGGAGCGGGACGGGATCAAAAACAGAGAAGGCAGAGCCCGCGAACCGTGAAGAGCGCGCGGGGGGCGATTGGGGAGCTGACTAGGCGGAGCGAAACACGAAGAAAGTGGAACGAAATACGAAGAAAGTGGAACGAAATACGAAGAAAGTGGAACGAAATGCGAAGAGAGTGGAACGAAATGCGAAGAAAGTGGAACGAAATGCGAAGGAAGTGGAACGAAATGCGAAGAAAGTGGAACGGAATGCGAAGAAAGTGGAACGAAACACGAAGAAAGGGGAACGAAACACGAAGAAGGTGGGCACGAAATACGAAGGGAGCCGAACGAAATACGAAGGGAGCCGAACGAAATAGGAAGAGAGTGGGACAAGATGGAGAGAGCCGAACAAGGTGGAGAGAGTTGGGCGAAATGTGGGAAGGCTAGAAAGCGGAACGAAATGGGAAGAAAATGAAACGAAAGGCGAAGAAAGTGGAGCGAAATACGAGGAAAGTAAGAAAGTGGAACGAAATACGAAGGGAGAAACCGGGACGAAATGCGAACAAAGTGGAACGAAATGCGAAAGGAGTGGGGCGTATGAACTGGAACGAAATGCGAAGAAGGTGGGACGAATCACGAAGGAGGCGGAACGAAGACGAATGGAGCGCGGACAAAGTGGAACGAAACCCAAAGACAGCGGGACGGACAAAACCAACCCCAAGAGGCTCGAGAGGAACAGGGTGAAAGCTGGGCGGAACGCCACGGAAGTGGAACAAGGTGCCAAGGAGAAGAATGGGCAACGAAATGCTTGGGGAAGGGGAAGAAAGACGAAGGCAAGAAGGTGAAACGCATGGAAAATAGAGCGGGAAAGCGCTAGAGGACAGGAACGAAATACAAGCACAGAGAGAGGAAGCTGGGCGAAATCTGGCAGAGGTCGGTAGCTAGGGTGAGACGCGAGGGAAGTGGAGTGCGACAAAACGCCAGGGAGGCGGGAAGAAATGCCAAGAAACAAACTGGGGCGAAGTGCGGGGGAAGCTGAGCGACAGAGCAGGCGCCAGCGGGACGAGCGGCGGGGTGAAGCTGGAGCACAGGAGAGCGCGGCGGGGGTGATACAGAGGGAGAAAGTGGAACGAAGTGCCAAGAATGTGGAGCAGGGAGGGCGCGGCGGATGAAGCGGGACGAAGTGCCAAGAAAGGGGGCGAAGCATGAAGCGGCTGAAGGGAACGAAACCCAAAGGAGGCAAGGGGGCCGGGGTGCGGGGTAAGTATAAAGATGCAAGGACAAAACCCCAAGGAAGTGGAAGGAAATGCCAAGGAAGTGGGAGGGAATGCGAAAGAAGGGGAACGAAGTGGGGAGGAAGCGGAACGGGACACCAGGAACAAGCTAGAAGCACCGAAAGCCCAAAGGAGGGGGGCGGAGGAATTGCCAGCCAGGGGAGCGGGGTGAAGCGCCAGACGAACACTCAAGGCAACTCAAGGGGGCACAGAATTGGCAAGCGGGGCGGGAGAATGGACCGAGCAAGGAGGGGAGCGCGAAAGCCTTGCAGACACGTCACAAACGAAAGCAGAGCGGGGGCAACGTGGGGCCCCAGTGTGGGGCGTAGAGCTTCGCAGCGGCGTGCACATGATGAAGGCGGGCACAAAGGAAGCGAAGTCCATCGATTCCATGCGAGCGAGGCACCACAGAAAGCCCTCTCGGCGGGCTAGGGGCGTTGCGTAAAGGGTGCAGAGCATGGATGTAGAGAGGGCGGGGGGGAATGGAATGCAGCACCACGCAGCGACGAAGTGGAAGGCGGCTTGAAGCTCAGCAGAATGAATGCAAAACAGCCAGAAACCCACAACCAAAGCGAGGAGACAGCACCAAAGAACTGAAGACGAAGCCAGCGCGAAACTGGTGAGCAAGCTAAGACGTGGCAAGGGGTGGGGGAAGTGGAACGAGGTACAAAGCAGGAAGGGGCGCGCGGTGTGATAGTTCAAACACAGGACAGAGCAAGCCGTGGAACGGAATGGGGAGCGTGCCGCTCGTACAGTTAAGACAGGCATGCGCTGAAAGACCAAGGGGCGAACGTTGTAGACGACACAACAGAACCAACGACCACGAAACAAACGGACGGAGAGAAGCCGCGCAAGGCGGAGGGCATGCCGGTGGGGAGCACCTCGCAAAGCTTGGAAGTGGCTGAGAATAACAACAAAGGCAGAAGAGGAAGCGAAACGAAGCACAAGAAACGAAAGAAACACAACGCGGAACGGGGAACAGACTGACCCGGCAAAAGCGGAACACCCTGAGAAGAGCTGCCGCGAAAGGCGGTAGACAGAGCTGAAGGGGAGACCGACGGGGCGCGGCGCCGCGTGGTGTGAGGCATTCACGACGCCAGCCAGGACCAGGGGCCCCCGCTGTGGGCTCTCAGACAGTGGAGGAGCAGGAGAGCAGCGCCACGGCCTCGCGGTTCATAGCGGTAAGAAAAGAGGAACGAACGAGGGGCGGCGGCGTGTGCGGGTCTTGCAGCTTTGGCTGGGCGGGCGGGCGGGTCACGTGCGGCGGTTTAGGCGGTAAAGCCACGCAAGCATGTCCCCACACACGTGGCGCGCGGGGCTTCGTCCGCTCCCGCAGCGAGGACCGACGCGCGCCACGACGGCCCCACGGCTGTTTTGCCCTTAGCAGGCTAGCGGCGGGCTTACTGAGTGGCCGCTGCTTGCTGACGTAGGTGAAGGCATTGGGAGGCTTCGCGGGGTGGCTGACGGGCTGCAGAAGTTCTTGGCTGTCGGTCTTCTAGGAGCGCGCCTGCTTGATTCTAGGAGCAGAAGCTTCTGACTCTAGGAGCGGAAGTCTCTGACTCTAGGAGCAGGCGCCTCCGGTTCTAGGGCCAGAAGTTTCCAACTCTAGGAAAACAGAACCGGCCCCAACTAGGTAATTTGTGTACTCTCTTGAGTCCATACTCCTTGGATACTTGCACAGTACTGTGAATTTTTTATAGGATTAAGTACTTACTCGTGCTCCTTCTCCTTTAGGCTATGCTCCTTTAGACTGCCGCAACCTCGTCTAACTCTAACCTGTTCTTAACAACAACACTAATAGTCGTTTCCGCTCGTGGTCCGTTATCTCCTGGTCGTGATGAGCTACGACAGAGAATAGCCGAGTTGGAACAGAAAGACGCAGATACCAGAATCGAAAACGACAAACTGCAGACCGCAGTGGAAACACTGGAACGTGCCAACGAAGAGCACGTAGCAATCATAGACCAACTGCGGTTAGAAGGTAGTGATAAAAGCGCAAAGTTGAGGAGCGACTACGAAGCGCAGCTAGCTGAGAAAGAAAACCGATTACAGGATTTGCTGTTTCAGGTTGGCGAGCAGGCGAAGGCCGCTTTGGAGGATCCTTCGAGACGAGTAGGCAGTGATGAGGAAGAAGCAAACCGGAAGAAGGAATTCGAAGACCTAGAGGAGCAATTGCGCGACGCCGATGAGCGCATTGCTTTTCTTGAGGAGCGTGAACGCACCTTGTCCGCTGACCTGGACAACGAACGCGCAGCTCATCGAGAGGATATGCTCAGACTCGAAAATGATGTGGAGACCTTGAACATGGAGTTGGAGCAGCAACGAAGGAAAGGACAGGAGATTGATCTGACAGGAGGAGTAGGGACGCCCTTTCAACATGCGCCAGGAATTTCCGCAGACTCACCAGCTACTGCATCAACGAAGGACCAGACCCCGGCCGACGACCACGAAGCCATGGTTCGACAGTATCAGCGGAAAGTTTCAGACCTAGAAGAGGAGATCCAACGAGGAAAGGATAGGTTAGCCAAGGCAGAGACTGACTTCGAAACCGCAAAGGGTCAACTAGAAGCTGAGTATCTAGCAAAGATGCAAGCTCTGCAACAGATAACAACCGCAAGAACTCACTCTCTAGATGAACAACCACCTTCGAGCACGGCCACGGACCCGCGTGCACATGCGGAAAATGACATCAACATCGACAATGGCCTTGAACAGCCACAGGCTACTAGAAATGCCTCAACTTCTTCGAGAAAAAGTGGAGCTTTTGCGCTGCTAGACGAAGACTCGTCTGCGACGCCGTCTCAAGCTTCTACTTTGAGGACTAATACACCACGTGAGGCGGGTCATGGTGCAGTAGCAGGTGAAGACAACTACGTTTTCGGAGCTAGTAGCCGCGACGTCCAGGATTTGATGTTCCAGGAAGAGATCTCCCAAAAGCAGAGGCAAATCATCGACTTGCAAGTGCAGACACAAGAGTTGCGCAACGAACTGCACGAAAAAGAAGAAACACTTCGAGAAAACGAAGCGACGTATATGACGGAGTTGCAGGAACTGATCCAGAAAAACGCCGCGGACAGATCCGCAATAGAGCGCGAATTCGAAGCGAAGATAGGACTTCTTACGAGTAATGTGAAAATAAAGTCGGACGAGATAGAGCAAGCGGAGGAGCGACTGTTCAAGCAGAGTGAGGAGATCGTGAAGCTCAAATTGAGTTTGGAAGAAGCGAAGGAAGCTCTAGGAAAAGAGAGTTTCATGGTTGGAGACGCTCTTTCTATGACGGTCGACGAAAGCAGTATTTTGATGAGTCGGATGACGAGGGGCGGGAACAACAAGACCGGTAATAGTTTTCTTGGAGGTGGAGGCGCGCTTTATCCTCCTTCTGGAGAAGGCGAGCAGGCTGCCACGAGGATTGAAGCAGGTGTACTAGGTGGTGATCCTGTGCCTCAAGTACAAATAATTAGCGCAACTGACGATGCAGAAGGGGGAACGGAGTCCTCCGAAGTAAGAAAGGGCACTAGCAACGATGTTCTAGAGTCCAGTCAACCAATCAGTTCGCAGAGATCTAAGGAGATGAATGGCGGTAGTCCCGACATTGTATCTTCCGGAACACCGACGTCTGGCGGCAAGGCGTCGTCTGTCCAAGGATCAGGTCGCAAGTTCCTCTCCATCGATACTGGCGCAGCAGGTCCACGGTTTCGACCGCCACCGCGACCCCTGGGCTCTCCTCGGAGTGCGGGTCCTTCGCCTAGAACACCAAAGTACAATGCTGATCGATTGGCGTTCGAACGCATGTGCGCGGACATGGGTATTGTCACGAGCCGCTCAGCCTCACCCGCACACTCAGCACGACCGGTTGGAATTGCGGAAGATGATGTTCTTATGGACTAGACGCAACCAATGACCCAATGACTTCGATATTTTAGAGTAGTTTATAGAACGGATGTAGGATGGACTTGGATGGATCGGATGGACCCCCCTGATTCTTCCGATCCTACTTGAAATGGTGGGAATTTAATAACACGAAGACGAAGAGACCCTAGACTGCTCAGCTGATCCACCGCATTGAAGCCGCGGATTGGGTGCCTGCCATTCGTGCCAACCGTTCCATTCGTGCCATGCCAACCGGCCCCCAGAAGCCTTATCAGCTCTTCTCTTAGTACTTACTTGATGCTCACTCTTCTAAGAACCTGCTGACCTCTGGCCCTGGTATTGGACTAGACACAACCGATGACCCAATGACGCAGCATCTGTTAGGAGCTACAGCAGCATCTTCGAGTACACGTCCGCGAGGTGCTGAAGAAGGAGAAACAGGAGTGAGTACTCACGTGAAGACTCAGGAGGATGGAGGCATTGCTGGTGGACTTGCTGACTCAAGTGGAGCAAGTAGTCCGTTGTTGTGGTACTATTACAAGAAAAATTCCCTGACCCAGGGTTCAGCGGTGTGCGGTCCTTTTTTGAAAGAGGAGATGCGCGCAATCCGAATGAAGGAGGAGGATTTTTACTTATGGTGGTTACTGTAACTTTTTTTTTCGCGCAATCCGAATGAAGGAGGAGGATTTTTACTTATGGTGGTTACTGTAACTTTTTTTTTCGCGCAATCCGAATGAAGGAGGAGGATTTTTACTTATGAGAGTGGGAGTTGACCTTAAGCACCCCTTCTGGTTCTAATTCATCTCTGTGCTCAATGATCAGGGATTTCTAGTTGTGGTTTTGAAGCTCTCTATTATACATACACTTGTTATGGCTAGCTTGTTTTTATTGCTTGTCCTTTTCGTCATCCGATTCCTCCAAACGCATAGAACATCCTTCTGTCGTCAAGCGGATGCCCCTGTTCACTTTCTACTTCCCGTTCTCTGTAAAAGAGTCCGAACCTTCGGCATTACCTCTAATCTACAATCGAGACACGATGGTAAAAACATCTCGTCACGGAACCACTTGGGTTCCTCTTACTACAGTTTTTCCCGCTACCGAAAGCTACCAAAATGCTTTCAAAAGCGACACTCAGGATGCGATGTCAGTGGAACTTGGTGCCGCGGCAGCAGAGCTCGTGTCTTCGTCGGCAGAGTCTGCTAGTGGAGGACCTTCGAACGCTGCCCTTCTCGATCCTAGAGCTGACCTCATATCGGAGAGCTCAGTGACGGAAATTGGACAAGCCTTCCAACAAATCGAGGTTTTGGAAAAACGAGTCTTGGCTCAAAATGCTGCTCTAGTGCAAGCGAAACGAGTGGTAGCGCAGCATGAAGAGAGAATACGGCAGAAGAATATGGAGCTGAGTACGGTTGGAGCGAAATTGCAGCAAAGTAAGAAAGTTCATCTCGACATACTTCTTACACTTCATCATAGATGATTTAGATGCATGATAGTGATGATGTGCCAGACCAGTAGTTCCTTCTTATGACGAGAAGAACAATGACGAGCTACAACAATAATAATACAGGACAATCATGAACAAGACGATAAGGATAATCGTAATCCCCACTTTTCCTACTCTTTTATAAACCACCAGGTAAAGAGGTCCAACGCAACAGCGTCGACTATGCTGGAGGGAACAAGCTGCTTGATGACTCTGTACATACGAGCACCGATGAGGGGTCTTTGTCCTCGTCGTCAATCCTGAGCGAGGCCTCATCGGATGAAGTCCTGCAGATGTTTGTCTCAACACAGGCGAAGTTGGAGAAGATCATCGCAGAAGACGCCAGTTGTCCAGAAGATGAGGCGAGAGTGATGCTACTCGGGGATGTCATCGCAGCACTGAAAACGAAACTCGCGATGAGCGGACAGCCTGTGCCGCTTGACGACAGGAGTACAGGGCCTAACCATGATGCTGGAGTTGCAAACACGTCTCCTCATGATGAAGAAGACGTTGCTTCTCCAATGTTGTAGTGTCCCATCTGCATCTACACCATCATTGAATGCTAACGACTTAAGTAAGTAGATGAGAATGCCAGAAGAGTATCTAGTACTATGCGCGTACTTCGCTACTTGAAAATTTTACTCAACAATCAACACCATTATTTTTTTTAGGATTTGTAGATTACAACATCCAAACAAGTTTACTTCGGGAATACGCTATGATAATTACATTGATTTACATCAAGAATTGAAATTGTGGATATTGAGACGTCACCTCGCGACGCCGACATAGTAGTACGCGTTCAAAATTAGTGAAAAATGTTAGGAACATGAAAAAACAAGTGCGAAGGGTCCTACTTTGCGATGTTCTACACATCTTCTTGTAGGAGAAACGTTTCACCATCTTCACATAGGAAAGGCGCACCACCATCGGTCTACTCTCAATGAATGCAATTCTTCTTCTGCACTATTGCGTCTCCTGCCCGAGACTGAGAGCAGCATACTTAGGCTGTCTCGGTAACTCGGTTCCATCGTGACATAATCGGTCTTGTTGTCAGCCTAAAAAAATCGGTCTTCTGGTTGTCACCTGGCTGTCTAAATCCGATAATCGGTTCCCTTCGTCTTGCTCTTGTTGTTATCGGTATGATTGATTCTCGTCAACTACGTTACCCCAACCACCTGCTCCTCTCTTCGGTCCCCTAAGGATTTTGATTGGAGTTATTGATTCGCTATGTCACATGAAAATGAATAGTTCCGCATCAAACACCAACGTCACTTGAGCCACAACATGTCTTGATCCACCAGCTCTAGGTCGTTTTTTTGGCTCTCCAGTCCGAAATAGAAGGAGTCCCTAGACGAGAAAAATGACGACCTGTATCTTCGTAAATGGTCTGATTGACCACGTCTTGCGGAATCCGATTCACTACCCGGGACCGCATAATCAGTACTTCTAGAAACACATTTTATCTAATTGGCATTGGCTTCTTCCTTTTCATAAGGTTGGGGCTTCGGCTTAGGTCCAGCGGCGCTCAAAGCACTCAAATAAAACAGCCGGTTAGTTTTTACCTCTAGAAACTTAGCGCTTCCAACAGCGACTTTATCTAAAACCACGAGCAGCACGATCACGGCGTATTATACTCATGATCCCTCTTCTTGTCAGGTGTTCTTCACGTAGAAATTAGCTAACACCTATGTGACACCCACGAACACGTCTCTTGGCAAAAAAACCTCTCTTCAGCAAAAGCATCCGCACGACTCGCGGACTGCCGCAGTTGGAGCCATGGCGTCAGCTCGAATTGATCTGGGAAGGTGTGGGACGTTTTGTCAAGATGACCATTGAAAAAGGACAGTCGGTCTACATCTCGAAGTTTGGCACTATCTCTTTCCGATCCACGTTGAAGGACGCGCAGACGAGACACTCACGCAGACTCATCTTGGATCCTTATTTTCAGGTACCGTGTTGCTATCTCTTCACCTACTTTATCTTTGAGAGATTTCCATATCCATGATCCTCGACGGACGTAGATGAAGTTCTTCTAGTGCAATAGTGAAGTAGATTTTAAACAAAATGACTGCAAGAACGAATTTCTTGAAACAAAATCCAGTAAAGGTTAGTGATTCCTTTCTACTAATTCTAATACTACAACTAGGAGGCTTCCGGATTATGATGCTTAAGGCTATTTTTTAAGTAGATTCTCTCTTTCTCTTCTCTCTCTGCTCCATTAACTAAACCCTCTGGCACTTGTCTCACGCTTAATCCGTTATGAAAACAAAATCCACTACGACTACATCAATTCACCAAACTACACATCCAGCCTTGCGACGAGATGAAGGAACACCTCACGAAAAAGCCAATCAAGGTTGTCACCGAAAAAGGCGCGCCGCCACTTGGTGTGTACGATATTCCTGCAAGATTGTGCTATCTCAATGAGAAACCGATTGCGGCTGTTTGCTACCTGCCTCTCTCAGTTGTCCACAGTGGCATCCGCAATATGTTTCAGGCTATCTTGGACCTCACCGCTAGAGGATACCCGTTGAAACTCGAGATGAAGGATGTGTGCGAGGTACTCCTGTCAATTGGAATGTAGTCACAATTCTTGAATAATCCCTATGTGACTTCTTGTTCTCCCCAAACAACGACAACCACGCATCAAAATTCAGATCTGTATCGAAGACAGAGATTTCAGTTACGAGTTTTCTCCGTTGGTGTATTCTGCTGCAGCGTTGCACGGAGACAAATTTTTGGGCAAAATCCATGAACCGCGCAAAACTTTGCAACAGTTATGATTGGAGCTTTGATCATTGCGATTGTGACTGCTACAAGATTGTGCAGTGGTTGTTACTAGAAAGAACTATCTTTTACGTATCTCTAAATCTATCCGTATCACTGACCAAATTGAAGAGCTCCTTGAGACCGGATTCGCGCGAAGTGTTGCGGAAGCGCGCCTACACGACACTGCTCCGAGACTACAGTGGCGACCTCAACACCATCAGTGGCATTCGCGCGCAGGCACCGAGGGATCCCTTGTAAGTCTAACTGACTCGTGGATGGAAGGAGTAAAGAAGGAGAGGGAACTACTTGAGGCAGGAGAAGTTGTATCCGGACTATGGCTAAGACTGACTATCTATCGATTACAATAACAAATATCATGAACAGCATTGAATTACTTACAAATCTATTCTAACAGTCCATATTAGAACATTATATTGGCAATATTTTGACAAGCTAAGACTACTTCTTCAGGAGATTACATTCCTATTATTCACCAGTCTCTTTGAGAGCGCACCCAATAGCAATATTGGGGGCTTGAAATTCGTTGATTAAAATTTTCTTTTATACATGGACCCGACTGGTCCGATTTTGTGAAGACACTGATATGTATTGCAGCATAACGATAAAACGCGGAATCTACTAACTAATTCCAACATTAATATATCTACATCTTCAACATATCTACATCTTCTAACATCGCGTATACATTAACGCATACTATGAGCTTGGCATGACTTTGACTAATATTGATCACGAAAAAGGACTAGCTCGAAACTATCTACTACGCTTACGCATATTATTCTCCCGCATAATATCTATGAACAGCAAAAAGCATACAGTTGACGACATGATTTGAATGCAGTGATCCGTACTATGATGGAATTGAATGTTGACTACAAACTAGATTGCGAATATTAACTTGAACAGGAAAGCGATTTCACAGGACGTAATTGAGCTGGTTGTACAGATACGAACTACTACCCAGCATCCATGATAAAGAGAACGTACTAGTACAACTGTAGGACTTGAGTTAGTCAGCGACGAGGACGTCCACTGTCTCTATGGCAACGTCGATAGAAGAAGCGATGTTCTTTTTCTTCATAAAAGAGCGCAAAATGACGCCGCACCACGAAATGATAGGCTAAAGGAGCCATGAAGTACCAAGATTTACTAGCGTTTTGGTCTTGCACTCGAAGAAAAAACCGAAATACCTGGTGGTAGGAGTGGTGTATACATGGGAATAACTTGATTCTCGCTCCACCTGGAAGCGCAAGCAGCATCAAAACGAAGAAGGAAAACAGTCAAAAAAAATGTGGCGTCTATCTTCAACAACGTCTTCGAGCTCCTCGAGCGCTTTGAGGGGACGAGGTTTGATATCCCGGACCGCCTTGATAACAAGTCCCGCACCATCTTCTTCTTCGTCAAGAGGAACGGGATCCTTCTTCAAGCAGAGCAGACGTTTCCTCCAGACGGATAGCGATAGCCTTGGTGCTTCGAGTGGCAAGATGCTTGCGTACGATGAGTCGATGCGCTTCGATAAAACGGGAGACCGTTCTTCCGCACTCGTTCGTTATCGGATCAGCTCAGATGAGATCATTCGTCGCGAATACATGCGCTACGACCACGGTGTGCGCATCGGCCGGCTCCTCGAGGATTTAGATGCAGGTGCCGGCGATGTCGCGGCGCGACATTGTTACCTAGGTAGTCCGCATCACGAGATGACCGATAATGTGACAGCCTGTGTCGATGGCATTTTGATCGACGATCATCTCGGGAATATCGAAACGGATGGGAAAGATTTTTTTCTCGAAGGCAGGCTGATGTGGGTTGGGTCGGCGAGTATGATGATTCGGATGCGCGTATGGACGGCCGACGGGACCTGGGAACCCTCAAACCTTGCGGCATGCGGCTCAGCCAAGCCTGATGAAAGCGTGCCACCAAAACGACTGAAGAGTCAGGCATCGATTGCGTTGAAACGCATATACCAAGTAGCGGAACGGAATCCGGGACCAAACAGATTTGGATCGGAGCATTGTGGCATAGGAACAGATGGAGCTGTAGCGGCGTTGTTGTTAAGGCACGACTCTACCACCTTGTTTCCCTGTAGTTATGTGCGCTTGTTCTTCAAATTGGAACTTAACCTCATCCACCGATAGCAGGCAGATTGGAACTTAATCTCCAGGCAAATTGGAACTTAACCTCATCGACCGATACCCTGGATCCTTTAGTACCTCTAACCCCCCCTCCCGATAGGAAGAAGCTTCTTCAGGGAGATTTCTTGTTCGTGGCGCTTTCGAAAGGATCACGGAAGGCGGTGAAGATAAATGGTCTTACGACAGTGAGTGCAGAAGACAAACAACTATTTGCAGAGGGTGAGGCGATGCGTGCCAAACGCAAAGCAACGGCTGCAAAGGGGGGAAAAGGCTTCGCGCCGTGTTTATGTTGCTTAGTCACGACCAGCGTTTTGATGTTGATATTCTTGATTCATGATTCGTTTTTTCGAGGCAGAAGAAGAGTAAAAAGAGCACGTTGTACGTAGTCCCTATGAAGAGTAAATGAATGCAGACCTGCTCCCAAAGCCATCTTCTTCTAACAACTGCCGAAGAAGCCTCCTACCTGCATCTGATGCATACTCGCGGCTTGATGCGCCATGCTGCGCCAGCGAAAGACATGTTTGACTATCTCTTCAAGTCCCAGCCCCTTCCAGAGGGACACTTCTTGCCGGACGCTCTAGACGGAGAACAGATGGCGCTAGACGGAGACAAGTCGACATCGTCCCAGATCGTTCCTATCTGCCAGACACAATGTCGGAGTATCATATCGACTTATGGCAACAGAGCTTAACGTCCTTTTTAGAGAGTAGTTACAACTTGTCCTGAATCCTTTGAGCAAGTCTATGCATCGGCATCCTATGAAGATCATACATAAGATAAAGGAAACACTACACATACAACACTCCTCATTGGATATCGGAAATGAGCAAACAATGTCTAATTCCCACAGCCTCAGAGTCAGAATGCTGGCGGGAAGATATTTGGTGGACAATTGATGCGACAGGCCTACGAACTAGCAGTCCAGAATATCCGTCTCCTGCTGAACGCTACAGGTCATTGTGTCGGATTGAAAGCCCTCGTCATCGAGGACACCGTATTCAAAGCGCCCGTTCCGATAGGGGCTTGCTTGAATTACTTTATGAACAACTTCTACAAGAAGTAACTTCAACTTAGTTGAAGTGGATGTGGTAGTCGGTGATTGTCAAAGCCAATCATGATGGCGACTCTTGACGATAATCTTGATGTTTGGAAATACAACATGATCCCTAGAAATCTTCGGAAATCACTATGGATACCTCATCGTCATCTCTAAAACATCGAGTCACGTGGTGTACACGAAAGGACGCTACGCTCAGGTTTTCGTCACGGCTCACGTGCACGTGATCGGCGCACACTCAACTGTATGAAAAATGGCAATAATTATTTTCCTTACCTCCATGCGCCGAAGATGTTGAAATGTACCTGCCCTAGAATTTTTACTCAGATTAGCTTCGAGCCCGAATCAGAACTACTACTAGTACTAGTACTCGTACTGACTTCTCTGCTTCTACTTCTACTTCTACTTCTACTTCAGGTAATTATACGAATACTAAGCATAACCTTCTATGATCTTCACTCCCCAAGAAACCCAAGCACAATCCCATCCCCGTGTTCATCCCACTACCTTGCAAACACGTTTATGTATACGTTTGAGGCGAAGGAGAGGGACTTTCCACACATCGTGCCGATCTCCTATGCTGAGATGATGCTCAACCTCAAGGGCCGCCGTGCGTATTATAGTCGCTTCTCTCCGAGGGAAGAGTAAGAAGATGAAGATGTGTATAGTACTGCAGAAGATGATTGGGGTGCGTAATATAGTCGCTCACCTCCGGAATGAGATTCCTTGGGGACGACGCAGACTGAATAGGAAAGTAAATGGACAGAAGTAGGGAAATCGATCGAAAAGGGAGTGACGTGGTCAGCATTTGAAAATATTGACTACTGCAGAAGATGAATGTATAGTACCAGGAACGATGAAAGTAACAGCCACTGTATAGGGAATGTACGAGGTCATAATTCATTTTCATGCGAACATTAAGTGCAGACAGGATGAATCAGCAGGTTTGAGTTTCGTTTCCTTGAACAGCGCCATAGAAAATCCTGTGGCAGGTTCTGGTATGGTGGCAGTATTCTATGACACGCGGCATTGTTGTCCACCGCGTTCTCCCTCTCCGTGTTCCGCTTTGAATGCAGGACAAGGTTGGACAAGGGTGAAGCAAGGAATGATAGAGAACAGTATCTCTGCGGCAGCGACTGTTATCAACACTAGTAATGTGAAATCCAGCACACCGCCAGAACAAGGCATCGAGAAATTCGAGAGGCGGACATCGAAGAGGTCGTGATATCTGTAGAAGTGCAAGAAGTAGTTGTTGAGCTTAGTGATCCATGCTATAGCCTATGAAGCAAAAGATGAAGATTGCCATTCATTGAGCATAAAGCTGTAGCCACGAACACGACTACTTACCTTATTCCCGGCTTCAGTTCTCGCAGGCTAACGCGCAATCACAACTACAAGCACGCAACGGGAAGTACCGAATAGTGAAGGGAGACAGAGCAACGACTTCAACTCCGTCGTCATACGCGCAAGCTCCTGATGCATCTGCAGCATTGAGGATTTCCTACGAAAAACAAGAACACTTATTGGCACAGAGGACGAGATAGACAGGGCCACTACTCCTCATCCTACAATCAGTTCTTTATGCCGGACTTCGACTTCTTGCATGGCCCTTCCTCATCCTACAATCAGTTCTTCATACCGGACTTCGACTCCTTGCATTATCAACAAGATCAACTACGACATACCACCACAATCATTGTCGAAACGTCGAGGAGGACAACCACAACTATCGACACGACAACTTCGATTGACTAATGCAGGTGTCTGGTTCGTCATCTAGCAAAGGAGGTGCTGGAGAAGTGGAGCTGAAGCAGCCACTGATGTCACAAGCTGGCGATCCTTTCTACGTCGCCAAAGATGAGATCGAGGCGGCGCTCCGCAGTGTTCGGCAGATGTGCCAGGACTTGGAGATGAATGCTGGGGGGAGTAGCAGTTCGAGCTCCTCGAGGGCGGCTGACAGATCGGGCCCGAGGAAACTCAAACTGGGCAACGAAATTGTTGCGGAGATACAGCAATTGCAGTACTAAGATTGAATGTTTTTCTCAAGAAGAGAAAGAGTTTCTTGAATTCTAAGGCCAATGAAATTGCTGCAGTGGTTGTTACCCTCTACTTTTCCATGTCTTGATGAATGCGGAGACCATTTTTTTCTGCCATTGCATCTCTCTCCTCCTACGATCAACTACATTTTATGTACTTACCTTGTTTCTACCAAATCAATGCGGTCCACGTCCATCGAATCCTTTTTCTCTTCTTCACAGGTACGACTTACAGGATGTCCAGACGACTATTGGGATAGTAGAAGGCAACCCGTCGAAGTTTAGAGTAGACCAGAAGGAATTGCAATCCCGGAAGGGGTTTGTGCAGCAGACAGAGAACTCGCTAAAGCAAATTCTAGCGTCGACACAAGCGACCATAAAGAGGATCGAAAGTAGCGGATCGGGGGAAGCGAGACAACCTGTATTGACTACTAACTACATGTAGAAGTTGAGCTAGACATAGTTGAGTCACACATAGAGGCAGGTGGAGACTTGCACAATATGTCTTATCCTCGAATCATGATGTTGAACTTCAGTGACAGGGATGTCAACAGTTGAAGTTGACCATTTCGATGTTGGCACTGTTGCAATATATATGGAATCTGTTCGCTTACTACACTTCGACTCCGATAGTTCTCAACTACAGGTTGGTAACCGCTTAGAACGCGAACGAGAAATGGACGAAGTGGTGCAGATGGGAAGGCATCAACAACGGCAGCTTGTGTCTCGACAGGATGAGCAACTTGCGGAGCTTTCGAAAACCACCGAACGTCTCAATCAAACGGCATTGGTATTGCTTTTCTCGATTGATGAAATAAGTACTTTCAATGCGTGGTACGACGATCCTCGCTGAAACACGGATGTTGACATTGACATTCATGTTGTACTATGCTGCATCTTGTAGAAGTTGTATAACAAGAACAAGAACAACTTCAGGAAGTTGTTCTACCTTCCAAGGTACTTAAATCCGACGGCAAATACACTCCCTTATCATTCAAAGGTAATCAATACCGAGTTAACCGAGCAAGCGCGGATGCTGACAGAACTTGACGAGGATATTGATCGGGAAACAGAAAAGTTGAATTTTGTGCTTCGGAGATTAGGCATATTGATGAAGACCTCTGATTCCAAACAGCTTTGGACGATTCTAGTCCTTTTCTGCATATTCATGTTTCTACTCATGCTTGTGATTGGCTGACGAGGGCCGCATCAAACCTTCGTTCTTTCTACAACAAAGAAGATTGAGAAGATGTTGACAAATACGACTCTACGAAGCCGTACTACAAGACCGATTGTTGTAGTGCCTTCTTGTCTGTGTGAAGGTTGAGAATGACTTCTTGTGATGTCTTAACTGCACGTGAGACACAGACAGTTGTGACGACCATTGAGATATTTTCTGTTCTCTGAGCTTTCCTCGGTTGCGAGAACATGCATTTATTTTGAGAGAGTAGTGAGAGAATTTTTTTGATCGTTTTTTGTGATGAATGAGCGGAATGCTGACGAAAAATCTGTTCCTGACCGAGAGCGACCGCGATATGCATCTGTCAGAGAATCGATCCTGAGTGTGTGTTTGTTTTATCACGACAGTTGTTCTCTCTGGCTGAGTGACCACAAAGCTGGCCGAAGCATCTGTGCATTGAGCGTGATTTTCACGAATCTCCGTGAAGCCTTTTTATCCATCTATCACGATCCCCACGCAAACGACCACCAACCTTCACCTTTCTCCTACCAAATGTCTACAGCTCTTTTCGTTTCTTGTATGCCTCCCCGAAACGCAACCACCTCTTTCTACATTGATACCCATAATTGTTGCAGGACGAAGATTTTTAGAGACCACATCTATAACATCAGAGACTTTTAGAGTAGAGTAAGCAACAAGATCAACACCGAGACCAATATGGCACCACCACCAAACATGGCTGCCCACAAGGGCATGAGTCCTGCATCTACCTTGATGCTCGAAGATGCCCTGAGGAACATCGTGGAGGGCAAGGGATGGTTGACCCGCGATAAGAAAAGCGGACTCGTCCCGATGGGCCAGATGTCAGTCTTCGGCAACTTTCCACCAGACTATGTGCCCAAAAGAGTAAGGGAAAATGTCAAGGTATTTTTCTTTTTCTTGGTGTAGTTATACTTGTCTTTGTGGTCAACACAGTCATTGGTAGTTATCCGCATATGAAAGCAATAGCATGAGCATGTTTAATGTTATGTTTGCGGCACTTTTTGTAGACGTAGTTAAACGAAACATGAAAAGAACCGCTGGTGCTGTGAACCTAAAAGAAAGAAAAACATGATCATTTTTCCATTCTCCAAAACCTCGAAACTAAACAGTTCGCCACGAACTCTCCCATCAAAGCGGCTGCGAGTAAGAGACAAACTGCCAAGAGCCGACGACCGATCGCTCCCACTGAATTTCGACGATTCTACGAGCGTGGTGACTTGCCCATCCAGATCGATCATTCCAAGGTTGGAGGCAAGTTGATGTGGAAAATCGATTTGGAGAAACTAGACTATCACCACTATTTGCCGATCTTCTTCGACGGTCTAAGGGAGAAGGAAGACCCGTTTCGGTACTGTTTGGTTTTTGATTGATGTTGTTGTCCATCATGAACATGATTTCTTTTTCTTACGTACTCCTGGCACTCCTGGTAGGTAAGTAGTAATAGTGAGGTCGACTTCGAGTTGTTAATACGACTGTGTGGATGCGGTCATCGTTGCTCTTCTTTAGGACGACTAAGATCATGAACAAAAGGAATTCTTTTGCCGCACTCACTACACGATATCACGATATTACAAATACACAGATTCGTCGCTGTCTCTGGATGCTACGATATGCTTGCGGCAGGTGGAAGCAAGATCTTGCCAGTTGTCCCTCAGTTGATCATTCCGATCAAGACTGCGCTCAACACCCGTGACGAAACTATCATTTGCACAGTCTTGAAGCTTCTGATTGAACTGGTGCAGAGTGGAGAGATGGTATACCTAAAGTATGTATATCTTCTGCTTAGTTAGGTTGATTTTAAGATCATTAAGTTCGAAGTCGAACAACAGCACTGCAATGTAAATGTTGCTGCAGAGGTATCCTTATTCATCTCTGCGGAAGTATAAAGAAAAGAAAAATGAGAATTATGCGGAACGGTGGACGCTCAACCTTACCAACACTTCTATCAACAGCCTGATCAGCATCAGCTGATCATGAACATTTTGATTCTTCTAAAAACATCCCTTTTCTTCCAATGGACCACCTCTCTATCTCACCCCCGTGAATCTCAGATCGGCGAAGCCTTGGTGCCGTACTACCGTCAGATCTTGCCGATCTTCAACATCTTCAAGAACAAGAACGTGAACATCGGAGATCAGACCTACTACGCGCAACGCAAGAACCGCTGTCTCGGCGACCTGATCCATGACGTGTTGGAAGCCTTCGAGATCCATGGAGGCGAAGACGCTTTCATCAACATCAAGTACATGATTCCAACCTACGAAAGCTGCGTGCTTTCCTAAATGGATGTTGTTGGAACAGCTCAGATAGAAGATTGGGTCAACGAACTACATAGACATACTAGAGAAGCTTATACTAGGAAATAAGTTTTTATTTGATGGATCTCTTCTAATTTTTATTCGTACAACATAAATCATGTGACAGACAATTACAGAAACAAACAGCATAACTTCTATAATTAACGTAGTAGATACAAAAGGTATGACAACTTCTAAGTGAGTAAGCATAACAACTAGTACAGAGTTCTTTGACGATTAACAAGACAACGACTACAACATCAACAATTCTTCAACTACATGTAGATAATATCTTTTCAAAATCGACGAAGCCTAGAATGTATTTGTAAAAAACGTTGAATTTATTTATATTTTCGTATTCTTGGCAGGTAATTGAACAGGAGATGTTTGAACAGTAGAGCCTGACGGACGGGGAGGACCCTTCTCCTTCATCATCTGTATTATTATTACAAATGCGTAGACGAGATTGAGATGCTGCTCGGACCTGCTCAGTAGAACTATTAGGAAGACGTAGGACAAGCATTTGAGCACGACAACATAACAACTGTATCTATAGAATTGGGGATAGATTGAATAGAGCTTGTTTTCCATGGTCTTGTCGTGTAGTTTATTTGAACAAAGTAGAAAGTAGAGGAACTAAACGAGAAGCAGAAGAACTACATAATGCACAGCAGCTCATGACATGATGCATAAGGACGACGCTGACGCTGATCACTTAGCCTGCTCGGACCAACTCTTCCTCGACAAGACCATGGTGAATATGTTTTTTTCAGGACGAACATGCACTATATTCTATTGGGAAAAAATGAAAATATGTGACTGCAACTGTATATACTAAACTGTAACGCATATTTTCGACATGTCAACATACTACGGGAAAAATACGTGCTCTTTGTTCAATATGCAGCTAGAAAGGAGAAATTTAGTATTTACTAGCGCACCATTGCAAATGCAGTGAGGAGGATTCAATACTGCTTCTTGGACGAACAGAAACTAGTACAACAAAGGCTTTCATCAATTTCTCTTTCATCTGGACCATTGCTCAAATTCAAAAAAGATATGAAGAAAGCCCGAGGACGAGGCCTCTTGCTAGCCACTGTGTTCCTTGTGTAGTTGTAGTGACCGGAGTTGAAGTTGTAGTGTTTGATTCTCTTCTAAGAATTATCATGATGAGTGTGTGAAGACGAAAACGGGGAGCAAAGTAGCGAAAAAAGTAGCTAAAGGTGGTCGTGTCCTAAATGAAGAAAAGAGCAAATGAATAAAGGAACGTAAGCCCTAGTTTTTGGTCCTCTGCAATGCTTGTACCAAGGAGTAATCCGGACTTTCAACAATCTGTGAGAGTCATGCGATAGAAGCAAACGAAATAATCCTAGGTATACTTCTTACTTTCACATCTTTCAACTTCATTAATACATCACAGTACAACCTTAGTGGTCTAGTCCTCTCTCAGAAGAAAGAACATGGCACGAGTGGGTGATAAAGTCGTCACGCAGCTGTATCAGGCTGCGCTGGATACGGAGGAGCAACTTGATGACGAAATCGATCGCCTCAGCAAGCTAAAGGAGGACGATCTGGAAGAAATTAGAAGGAAGCGATTGGAGGTAAGCGTGACTCGTAGTTGTACTAGGTAGATGTTAGTAGTTGTAGATGATTTTCATCTTAATTTTTGTTGAGTATTAGATTCTACCTGTAATCTGCACCGTCAAGGAGAATGACATTCATCAAAACCAATTATCCACAGGCAATGAAGGATCAGCACCGAAAGGCGCAAAGTGCTATCCGTGCTGGTTGCGGGAAATACGACGAGCTCAAAGACGAAAAGGAGTTTTTCCAAGCTGCCAAGGACAATCCTCGAATGGCATGCGTCTTTTTTCGGGAAGGCAACTATAATTTATGAAATGTTTTTTCCTTTCCCCCAACCCCAAGAAGTCCCCAAGAGCCCCAAGAAGACCAATTCCAAAACACTCCTTGTAAAACGACTTCCATGAAGACCACCTACGCCCCAAGCCTCTTTCATCTCCTTCCGACGTGATGACAAAGCATTTCGAGACACTGTGTCGGCGATACGTGACAACACGTTTTTGTCGAATCAATGCAGAGAAAAGCCAATTTCTCTCGGAAAAGCTCCATATCTGGATGTTGCCGAGTATCGTTTTGGTCAAAGATGGCAAAACGGAATACACTTAAGCCTGGATGGCTGGATGTGGACTAAGTCCTACTATTCACATCAAAAGAAGTATTGTTACAGACATCGATCTTGTCTTCTATCGTCTCCATCATGTTACTAGCGAACTAAATGGTAAATAAATGGTAGCTTTAGCTTTAGTATTACTAGTTCACCACGACTTGTTCTACGTATCACTCGTTCACCACTTGTTCTACTAGGATGCTCTAATGAAATATTCGCGGCTTCGACGAACTAGGAGGCATGGACTTCTCAACCGAACGCCTTGAATCGATTCTGAGCTACCGCGAAATCATTCCGGAACTAAACTAGTCCTGGGGGCTAGTTGTTGATATTGATCGATCATTATAGATAGGGGCGGATGGAGGGAAAGGATGAAAACCGATTCACTCAAGAATATTGGACCACAACGAAAAGTTTGAGTTAGATGCAACAAGCCATCATCAATCAGGAGGAGTATGACGACGGTTGTAGTGGTAGGAAATATTTTTTTTTTTTGGGTTTATTTTTGATTAGAATTCAATCCTGCCAAAGTGTAGTGGGAACGTTGAACTTAGTTTTGCTGGATGAACTATATTCTTTGTCGCATTGTACTTCTGCGTAAGCACAACTTCCATCAATCGTTCTCTTGCATGACAACTATAACTGTAAGATGGTGTTTCTTGACTGTTGGAAAAAAAACTGAACCTAAAGAAAGGTCCAAAAGGAGGAATGCGGATTCATTCGGTACGAAAGAAGTCAATAAAGAAACTTGATAGAGCAGAAGTAGAAGAGTACGTAGGTCAAGAATAAGAAGAGGGAGAAAGAAAAAGAGATATTTGCAAGTACAACTGCATTAAGAGAGAAAAAGAGAGATTTGCGATTTCGTGATTTATTTTCAGTGTCATTTCATCTGAAAAACCTGGATTTGGATCCCTAAAAATGTCTGTGATGTCATTTTTGAAGTAGTCCTCTCGACAAGTGTAAGTACTTCGATGAGTCTCAATCTACACTTCACAATGAAATAAAGTTGCCAGCACTCGTATGCTTTGAGTCACAATGTAGTTGACAAGCGGTCTGCAAGGACTAGAATTGGATATGGAGCCGTGTAAATAAAAGTAGTTGGACAAGAAAAGGTTCAAGATGACGAAGCCAACTCCGGCTTCGGCCATGCAGGCCCTTCCGATGGATGAGGAGGCCCGCAACAACCTAAACGAGCTGATCAACGAGCTCGATTCGCTCGTTGACGAAGTGCGCGCTAGCACCAAAAGTGCTATAAGCGTACACCATTTCCCGAATGAAAAAGTCCTCGGATGGCGCCTGCGGATCAACACTATGTGCCAGAAAGCGTTGAACCACAAGGTTCCCCACGTAGACTTCATGGAACAGGTGTGCGTATATGGGGAACGCTTGATGGACTGCCATATGTATAGCGTGGTTCTTTTACGGCAAGGATGAACTAAGGGAGTTTATTTTTAACCAGTTAATACATGGTCTTGGCATGATCGACCGCATTCCACTACTTTTCGCAGGACGAGCAGCGGGGCCGCGGGAAGACCTCGCTCCTCTAAAGCTATGCCTTCTCCCTTTCCTCAATTCCCAATCTCCTTCCTCTCTAATTCGAGGCGAATTGTTTGACCGCTTCAGTGATTTGTGCATGAAGTACGTGCGCGAACGAAATTACAATGTGACGACATTTGCCAGCACCGAGAAAGGTGGACCTATGTGCGAGCCCGACGTAGTTCGCGACCCTGTACGTTGTGCGAGAGTCACAGTACTAATTACAATGCAAGAACTTAGGAAGGTGAACGCAGCTGGTGCTGGTGCGATGACAAAAGAAAGAGAACCATGTGCATAAGGAGCACCTGCACCTGTTAGTTGAAGCACCTTTATTCTACGCTTCGTCCCGTCCTTTGAAGAGTCAAAGGAGGAAAATACAGCCTTGTTACTACCCCTCGTGGTCTTCTCCAACACCAGGTTCGATTTCTTCTGGCTCGTGCTTTCTGCGTTTACCGCTTGACTGTTCTTCGGGATGTCACACTCCAAAGAAGGGACTCTCTAGAAGACATGCGCTCTATCCTCCTCGATTTGCAGAACGGAGTTTCTCTTTATGCGTTGGAGTGATACAACCACAGCTCTCAGTCTCAGTCCCTTGTATTAAATATGATTTCAAATAATGATGAAAATGCTTCACAGACACAGGTGAGCAGCAGCAGTCCTTTGTAAATAACTCGAAATGAAACAAAATGCTTCACAGGAGGTGAGCTCCACATGTAGTGGTATGTCCTATTTTTAAAAATGCCGGTTATTTGTGATTCTTCTAATTTCCATTGGTGAATTTCCCTGACTTGATACGGCAAAACCAGGAGGAAGGCCCGCGCCATCTGGACTTGCCGGAAAACGTAAGCCTCCTCATCGAAGAGGTCTGCTATCCGCTCGTCTACAACGCTCTGTTGACTGCGATGCGAATAGCCAAATTTCTGAGGAAAGCGGGATACGGTACAAACAATGACGCATAAAATTGGATACGCTCCTCTGTTCCTGTTGGACTTGGACGGCCTGCTTGTTCGCGGCTCTCTTTTCCGTCTCAATCATTCTTGCTCGTACTACAATAGATACGATTACGACGATGGATGCAACAGAGTCCAGACTTTCATTTCCAACGTGACGACAACCCTTTTACAACCTAGCACCTCTCGTCTTAGGTTATGTCGCCGTACCTGTTTTGGGTTGGATTTCAACCGTCACGAGTGAAAGCTTTCTGCCTCTTCAGAATGTGCAATTTCTGCCTTTCCGGTTACGAGTGAACCTGGAGATAGTCGCGTGTCTCGAAGCCTCCCAGGGAAGCGAATATCTAAAGATTAAGGACTGGTCTGTATCCCTATTCTGTAATACAACTGCTGCTCGCGGTTGATGACTGTTGTATCACTTGAGCGTAGTGCTTGTGCTATGTGTCCTCGAATTGAAACGATGTCACAACTTCTGCAAAGACTGATCATCATCTTTTTGACACAACGTCCGACAAAGACATTGGCAACATTGAGATTGATGATTCCCAAGTACGAGTAGAACACCTTCTAAGAAAAGCGCAATGCATGCAGTGGACCAATCCCTGGCTCAGATTCAGGCCCATGCTTAAGGGTTTCCGAATTACATCCCTCACTACCATCCTTGGCTCCTTTTCAAGGGGAAAATAGGTCAAGGATGTTCTGAAGAATGCAATTCGGCAACCTCTAACATGCAGACCTGGAGAACCTCGTAGCCCCAGTACCCTTAGACACTCTCGAGATGCTGCGGATATGCAAGACCCGGTTACAGATGCTCCAAGCAAAGTACGGCTTCTGGACAAATTGCCTTACAAGTGGAGCCGTTGGGGATAATTTGAACTTATGGTGGAGCAGTTGGAGGAAATACTATTAAAGCTCAGCACTCAATGGTCACTGACTCTGAACGGAAGAGACTCCCTTTAAAGCTCTCCCCTTTCCCTTCCTTTTCCCCTGTTCTCTAAAGGGGTCGCTTCTTCGATCTCAGTGACCAACCCCAATGACCATTGAAAGCTGAGCCTTAATACTAGATCGATTTTTCTGGATAGTACTGTGATGGGACGCGCTCCGGTAGTTCAGGTTCCTTACCTCTAGGTGTAGTCTTCACTCATTTCAAGCACTGTTCTCGCCGCTTCAAAGCTTATTTGAGAGGACGGTAAGAGCTTTTGACGTTCTTGAGTAGTGAAGAAGATTTCCTGGCTCATCATCGTCAACATCATCATCATCCTCTTCTTTTGCAAGCTCCAATGATCGCACTGCTGACCCAGAAGGGAGGCGCGGCATTGCTTCCTACCGCAGGTGTGGACTTCGAGAACACACATTTTTACCTCGCTTCGTTGGTGGAAGCCCTCAAAGTGCGGGGTCCAGGGAGCTTTAGTCGGGCTTTTCTGTCGGAATTCGTTTCCTCTACGAAGGAACAGGAAGCGCAGTTGAAGTTTGGTCTCCTTGGTCGAAGCGGGAAGGTTCCACAGCCTCCAAAGTGCTTTGGAGCCTACTTGGCAGACGTGAATTCGAAAGATCTGCCTGCGATTGTTATGGTTTTACATGATGGTACTAGTGGTACGTCGAGTTAGTGGTACTGGTAGAGCTAGTAGCAGTAGAAGAACTGGGAGTTCTTGCTTTTCCTCCTGGTACCTACATCTTCAAAGAGATCATGGTGTTGTGTCAGAGAGATCATTTTCAACATCAACATCTACTCTAATCGGTACGCGATTCCGTTTGACAAACAGAAAGATGCGCAACGAGCGTTGTTGAAGGAAGCACTGGCAGTGGCGAAACCTTTCTTGGCGAAAATCCGAACGCTCGTAATCCTGCTAGAATTATGGCAGTTAAATAACATTTTCACACTGGTGTGTTATTCGATACGATTTGGTAGTTTCCGTTCCTCGTGATGGATCGGAAATTCAATAAGCCCCCCCGCATGTCCTCTTCCTACCCTTTCCGCTTCTCCTTGCTTGTTCTAATAGAAAAGTGGACATGTCGTCGCAAAGAGATTGAGAGGATAGAGCTCTTGAAAGCAAGGGGTGTGTATGATCCTCCTGAGAACCCGGCTGATCCAACCCCAGAAGAGGGTGAAGACTTCTACGCGGAATTAAAGGACGTGGCGCTTTTCAATTACGGCAGGAGGAGGTGGAGGAGGATTATATACTACAATTACTTGTACAACTAGTACTTGAAAATATAAGCGAATCTCGATTACGATTTCTACTTGATGAAGAATCTTTTGAATACTTAAATTCTACTTTCAAACATTTGATTTTCATGTACGAAGACTTTCGTCGATTCCTTTCTAATTTCCAAAACTCCGTACCGGATTCCCACTCAACGCGCACAAAGTTTTGCTAGAAAGCTGTGTGTGCCTGGACATGTATAGTGGGCCAGACCATACCGACAACTTCCGGGAGTTGATGGATAGCATGGTGTTGCGGTTGAAGTATCGGCATTTCTTTGACCCGCCACTTATAGAAATTGATGTTTTGGTATGCGAAGTGCCAGACCCCGATATCCCTGGCGGCTACATTGCACTAACCAACGATTTGAATGCGCTCTCTGCCAAAAACCAAAGGGTTGCGGAACAAGATTTAAGGATACTCCTTCTATCGACTTAATCTAACAAGATTTCGAAGTAGAGCATTGTTTGAACTTCTCTTCTTGAACCTGCTGTCCTATAATGTGTGTGCCACGACCTTAAGATGGGTTACAATCACAGTGAGCAGCTCTAAAAGACGCTGCTCTTGCGGCACAGGCTGATGAAGCGGATGACAATCCAAAGAAGAAAGTGGAACGCTTAATGGCAATGCGCGTCAGGGAGAAGGGGCGGCATGTTTTCCTTATTGGCAAACGGTTCGACCCATTGGAGAGTTGGCCGGTACCACTTGTAGTCCTGTTTGCTACGCTTGTTCAGCATAACCAACTGTGGTTTAATTCCATTCGTCTTCTCATCCTCCATGTCCTCCTCAGGGTGTTCCCAACGTGAACCTTGAACATTAGAGGAAAACGACATAGACATTCTATTCGCCTTCTCATCCTCCATGTCCTCCTCAGGGTGTTCCCAACGTGAAGCTAGAAGCACACATGGCTGCAAAGACGAATTATGCTGCCTACGTCCCATCTTCTGGCCCTGAAACGATAGACGCGCCTGGTGTCATTCAACGCGTCTGCAACGTTTACGTCGTGGTGAATATTTTTTGTAAACAGGCTGACGCTGAGCCTGACGAGTGATGCTCAGGCACTCTTCTACCTGCAGCTAGTATAGTCTGCGTGTTTTGACAATACTCATGAATAAAAGGTTCTTCTAATATCCGCACATAGAATTTGCAGTCCGACCGCCTATTGTGGAAGGCAAGAGAGACCTCCTGTCAGCTGGTGTCCTCCATGCTGAAGATCATCGCCGGGTTGGGGTTTATGGAAGCACGCTACTGGATTTCCCAGGTGACAATTTTGACGATGTCGACCTGTACAAGGATCCTACGGAATTGCCTGCAAAGACCAAGACAGCCAAAAAGGCTGCAACAACGGCACCGACGAAGCCATGGCTATCACAGGACTATGAGGCTGCCGTGTCAGACAGAGTTGTCGACAGCCTCACTCACGAGGCGGAATCGATTCGCAAGCACTTTCTTGAGGAGGGAGCAGAGACTGTGGTAAGAAGTACCTAAGTTTCTGGTAAATCTAGGTTTGGAAAAGGCCATATTTGTATCTAAATCTAATATAGTGGTGCGGTTCAGGAGGTGAGCTTGAGTTTCCTAATCGTTTTCTCATCGTCAGGTATCTCACCGTTGTCTCCCTATTCCGATCGAGTCACATCCAGCTGCCTTCGCAGACATCGGCACTGAGAAGATCCCTTTTCTGACCTTTTCCGTGTATTCGGAGAAAGCTGTGCACGATGTCGACCCTTTCGTGAGGAACCAGCAATTTCTATCGGGCCCTTACGCTGATGCGTCCAAAGCCCAAAATATTCCAGCATACGATGACAAGGCCGCGCGGGAAGAACAGGAGCAAGCGATACGAGGCACCCCAGCAGAGAAGACACGCAAAATGGGTGTAGCGTTATGACTGGTGAACAACTGTTGAACAACGTGTACGTATAGACTGATGCTAGTTAGTTTTTAGAATTAGACATAGACTTAGAGCTAGACATAGACTTAGACATAGTCTACTCCCTCCTTTTTCTAATAACCGCAGCCAACGCAACGAATTTACCTCAAGAAGTGGTCGATCCGAACCTGCCTCAGTATGCTTCTGATGACATCTCAGTGATCAATGAGGAAGCTTTGGTGAAAAACTTGAGTTTCCAGAACTGGAGCAATCTCCTGGACGATTTCGAACTCGCACTCGTACCCATTAACGACCTGGGTGTCATGCGATCGGCGCAGTTGTCCTGTGTGATACGGCTTCCCCGCATATCTAAGCTGCGTATCCGTATGTAACCACGCACTCGCACTCCACATACCCTTGTTTTACCAAGAAGATCCTCATCATCATGGATCTACTCCACTTTGTAGTCGTGGAGTCCACAACAAGCTCATCTAACTCTCGCAGTAGAATATGATAAGGAGAATGGAACAGTCTCAGACTTTGGCGAGAAGACTGCGATTCTGAAAGCAGATCTACGACAGACGCCGGAGGATCTTCTAGGAAAGCCGTTTCAAAACTACCACTTCGTCACAGCAAAAACGGAACAGCCAGGCACCGTAGGAGTATGCAGATCGATGCGGATTTTTAGGCTTTTGGCGGAGGTACTACTACTAAGATCGGACTCGAAGGAATGATGATCTTTTTGTAGTCGTGCATATTTCAGATGAATCTTCCTCTACCTCGTCATCTTAATCCTTTGTTTTAAGTAACTGTCAACGGTTGAGGGCAAAAATTCAATTCTTCTAGGCCCTATGTATCCAACAAACCTGATTGCACCAGACCTTACCAGCCAAGGGACCGGACGCGCGAGAAGAGGAGGATCGCTCGCCTCAGAGTGTGCGGTCTAGTCCGTGGATTAATAGGATAGCAAATGAAAGCGAGGTTGCGAATAGTGTGAACACAGAAAAGCTCGCCGAACTTGTCGAGACGCTGCGTCTGACTCTGACGTTACGGGAGCTTATTTGTATTTGCTTGCTGATAACTTCATCTCATTACCATACCCGTGCATATCATGCAAGAATCACTTAATCTCATTCATCCATTCTCAGCAGCACCAGGTCATCAAGAACAAGAAGATGCTTGGTACTAACCTAATCTATCACTATGTATCACATCTTTCGATATGCTTATGCTATCTTGTTCTAAGCATTGGCCTAGCCGGTCAGTTTTTTCTGGCAGAAAACGCAGACATCCTCGAAGACGTGGTTGGCAAAATTTACCACCGCTGTGTCCGGCCATTAGTCAAGGCTATTGAAGCGAAGAGACATCGAAACACAGTCAAAGAATGGCTTCTCGAGGATCTAGAGCTCGGCCAGATCGCGTCTTGGTGCGGGGTCTTGAAGAAAGTCGTGCCGACTTTGATAAAGACAATGCAAGCAGTTGGACGGTTTGACGCGTTACTGCTCGCCAATCTGAGCTGGACCATGAGTCGCCTTTCAGCAGAAGAGAGCGAGTTTAGACTCTCAGCCCAATGGCTGAAGCAAGGGATTGCACGACTCGAGGAAGATTTAGACGACCGGGTAGTTGTGAGTGGGAGCAGATCATTCTTGGATAAGCATTATGACGCGCACGCGTCGATTACTAGATCCTCGAATTCCTATTCTTGTACAAGAAAGAACACGACCTTTGTGTCGTCTCCACTCCTACTCGTCCACCTCCACTTTCTCCCTTCTTCTAATTTTGTCCCTCACTCGCTATGAGCTTCGATCCACCAGCTTTGCGACCGCTTTCTTTTGCGTACCATTCAAACGTATCGAACACGCACACAGATCCGGATCTGCTATTCAAAAATGCTCCATTCGATGAGGACTACTGCGACACAACTTCGCTGTTGCCCAAGCAGAAGAAAAGAGGATACCAATTTTACGCATGAATGCACTTGTACTTGAGGAGGTTAGGTTGTTTTCTTTGCTGAAGACGCTTTGATGAAGGAGAATCTTTATCTTATCGTAATCGTTGGAGGCGGTAGTGCTTGTACTTAGAGACAGACCTCCCCAAGAACTTATTCATCTTCTTCTAACTTGTACCAACGAAGAAGTCTCCGTTCACCCACAAGATCCTGATGGACCCAGCTCGCACAACTTTGAGGGAAGACACGCTTGTTTTGCCGACACAAAGCCGAATCTTTCAGGAGAAGGTGCTGGTGCTGCAAGAAATGTACAACGCCTTGATGCAGGTGCAGCTCTCGCAGGCAAGAAAAAGCGACAACTTGCTTCTGGGCATTCCGATCATGTACTTGAATGTCCTCTATGTCTGCTCTTTTGAAATGAAATAGAATCACTTCGAAGTTTCTGCAACTATGACAGAAGCGTAAGCTTTCTCTCAATCTTGACATTCACTCATCGAAGACCATCATCTTCGTCATCAACATGACCTACCCGCAGCCAGATGACAGAGATGCTTCAAATCTTGATTCCAGGTACAAGCTAGTCAAAGCTGGCCCCAACCGCAAGTTTGCGGAAGATATCTATGAGGATATTCCAGACACGACCTACAAGAAGATGAAGAGTCTCTCAAACGCGGTGAAGGACGACCCCAACAGTTTGGAAGCCCATAAGACGAACGCCGCTGAGAGGAGGAAAGTGATCGAGCTGACTGACTATGCTCCCAGTAAGCTAGCCTTGTCGTATCAAGAAGGCGACGTGGCACAACCACTTGGGCAGAACCCTTATTTGAGGGCCCTCTTTTTCGTGCACATTGCGGCGCAACAGCCTACCGCAAGTAATTTGGCGTTGCGGAAGGCTTGCAGTGAATTGGAAAAGGCGGAGGCAGTCGAAATCTCGCAATGTTAAGTAGAGGGTCGTCATTAAGTATTTTCAACATGTTGAAAAACAGTGTCAGTGGATGATCTAGTACCAATTCGAATCGTATCTATATCTATATTTACTAAGTTACCTCAAGTAGAGCAAAAAAGTTATTTGATATACAACCTCTAACACCGGGAGTACTTCGAAAGCGGACTGGCTGCAGATCAGAGACAAATGATAGACGAGAAAGGCATGCACAATGCTAAACACGTAGAGAATCACTATGTTTCGAGCGAGAAACTGAAGATGCCAGGCGACGGAGACGATGCAGAAAGTGGAGAGGAAGGTACTTTTATCCATTCGCTACATCCAGTTCCCGAAGTGCTGGCTTACACTTTTAGGAATGCCCTCCATTTTGGTTCTTAGATAGAACTACTCACAAAGTAATGAAAGTACTTCTTGATCGAAGATTCATGTGAAACATGGACAGAAGATGATGTACACTTACCACGCACTTACTTTCCGTTCGCCAGGTATCAGTGACCACAAATCCAAACAGAACTCTCTGGAGAACACCTCAAAAACAGCGTCAAAAAAGCGACGTCGGCCGGAAGCCCGAAAGCCGGTTTTCGTGACCCGTGGCACGCGCTCTATCTATCTGCGGTTGCCCACGCCACAACCGGGTAGCAAAGGACCAGACCAGCTTCGACCACAATTGCTTATGGCATGATGAGAACACGTGCGCGAGCACCTCAGTTACTTTTACCAGCTGGCAGAAATAGACGATCATGATCTTTTTACATTTACATACAATTCGAGGAAATTGAAATTCTGGTTTGATGATTCTCTTCTCCTTCTAACATCCGCCCCTCTCTCCGAACAGTAGCCAGCAGGGTGGACATCAAGGAGTTGCGCAACGACAATCCTATACAGGGGATCGATACCTTCAACAAGTTTGCTGGTGCGCATTGCCAGTCGAACCGACGTACCGATACCTACATGTTGTACGGTAAAGAAGCGGGCATTGTCGTGGAAGTATCAGAACTGCACAAGGCACTGGAGAACATGGGCTCGAGGTATCCCGGCTACGACTACGTCCAAGTCGCGGGATTGACGCCGAACACGAACTACAGTTTCGCTGTCAAAGAAACACGAGGCTACGATCCAGCGAAGGGATTGGAACCGGATTTGGAACGTGTCGGCGGCCCCCCGATCAATGCTGTAGGCATGATCTCGACAGCCACGCCACCGATCTGTGCTTGCTTTCCTCTTTCCACGTCGCTCATCTGGATGCGCATTCTCGAACGCGCCTTGCTGATCGAGGAAGCGCATTTGTGCCAGATCCGGCAAGATATGGGCTTTCTGGCGAAAAACGCAGAACTGCAAAAACTTTGTATGCGTAAGTTGAGGGTCTATTTTGTCGAAACCTGTCGTGGGGGGCAAAGATCGGATCTACGGATTCGTAAGTTACGATCTGACGTGACAGCACGCAATCCCCCATACGTGCTGTTGAACTTTGCGCGCGTGTTGGTTTTGCGACAGCGGTCGCGAGAGGGAGTGTACAATCTGCAGAGCAGCAGCCTGCAGATGAAGAATTAAGGCGGGATGTACTATAGTAGTGTGAATACCAATACCACTACTTGTTCTTGTTCTAAACTACGCTACAAACCGAGAAAGTGTTCGACACGCGTGTTCGTAAAGGCCAATTAGCCTTGCTCGACGATATCAACGATTGCCTAATCGCGCTGGACGCAGCTCAGCGTGCCAGTTTAGAGACAAAGCAGCGCGCGGCGGACAAAGTAACGCATGTGGGTAGTGTCACGGAAACGGTCGACCCGAATGAGATCGTGTTTCAGGCAGTCAGTCTTCTTCTCGTCAAAGTCCGACACCTGGTGAAATACCGCAGTCGACCCGATATTTTGTTCGACATCCTGTTGAGCTGTGTCTTGGCCATGCAGAACACCGCGCTCAGCCAGTGGGATCCACACGCGCGAAAACTGACCGTTTTCGTTCTGCACAATCTATTCCAACTTTGCGCGCAACAGCGAGTGCCGCGAGGTCTCGTGACGCATATTCTCGCGACAAAGGATGCGGTAGAACGGTATTTGATGCTGTGTACCGTGAAACGGTCAGAGGACTGGCATTCAGCGCCGTACTACGAAAAAGACGCCGCAGCAACGACGATCACGAACGTCGTTGGAAGTCCGTATCTCGACTTCACTAGGGGATTAGCACTCCTCTCCGTAGAATTGGCGTTTTTGAACTACCCTTTGAGTGCAGAGAAAATCCAGCATGGTTTGGGTGGAAAAAGTCTGCTGTGCCAAGCAATGATCGCAACGGCAGCTGCAGATCGAGTCATGATCAACGCAAGTCCAGCTGATTCTTTTATGGCATCTATCTCGGAAAAGATGTGATTACCGATTATTTTCGGTTGTTTTTTAGATACGAGTAGTTTCCTTCATCTTTTTTCCTGTAATCACTCCCACTTTGGTATCATCTCCCTTTCATTTCCCCACCTGGCGGTACTGGTGGTCGCAGTGGCGGCACCCTCGACGAGGCGAGTTTGCCAGGTATCGATGAGCAGCTTACCGCTTTCTTCAATAAAGTCACAGCTGCAGAGACAAGCGGCGACTTCGTTCCCGAGTACTTAGAACTCGCAAGAGGACCCTGCGAGGAGCTCAACAAATTAGGACATAGTCTTGGTCTGCCGATGTTCGTCTTGTGCGTCAGCCGTACGAAGTTACCAGCCATGCAGCCAGCGAACAGCTCTTTAGACGCACTTAGTGCCATGGTACAAGCGCTGTCTGCGGACGAAAAAGCGTACATCGAAACCATCCAGAACCGGTTGGAGGCCGTGCCTCAGATTCAGGCGGTGCGCAGGGCTTTGTACGAGCAGAGTAAGGAATTGGCCAGTTATGGCTTCTTCTTGCGGGCTTTGCCTCATCATGCCTTGAAGTGGGAAGACGACGACGCAGAAAAGACAGAGCGCGCCAGCAGTGGCGCTGGTGGGTTTGCACAGTTGTCTCCAGAAGAGGAAGAAGCAGAAAGGGTAAAGGCGGAAGAACTGCGAAAGCAGAGATTATGCATGTAGAGATACTTCTGAGTCGAGAAAGATAAATGCCATTTTGAGACGAATGCCAAAAGTTGATGAAAGAAACCTAGAGGCTTTTCTCACACTCGCACATGATCTTGATGTGCCACATCAATCATCATCTTGTTCTAAGAACAGCCTTGATCCAATTAGGCAACGAAGGTCGTAGATTTCTCCAGGGGTCCCTGTTCGGAAAGTGGCTCGCGCAATTAGAGCTTCTCGGCAGCACTGTTTCGGTACGCAAGCTAGAGCTCTTGCCGTTCCACAACCACCAAGTACGCAATTTCCGGTATCTGGATTTGGATCAACTCTCCGTTCCCGAACTCAAAGTCGAACGTCTAGCGACTGCTTCTGCCGAAGACGCGGCCGCATTGGAGCATGAGGCTGAAGTGGCCGCAGCCCAGTTTGAAGGGGATCCGGTGGAGGGTATAGAGGAAGCAGACCTGTCCCTAGCACAGAAAAATTTCCGTGATGATCGCGACGCCAAGGCTCTGGCCATGATCCTCCTTCGCGACATCGCGGCCAGATGTGCGCGGGCCTCGGCCTACGCCGCAGGATCGGGCGCGTATTACCTGTTGCAGCAGAGTGTGTTCCTGACGTTCAACGCCATGCTAGTGGCGAATCCGTCGCCTGAAGAGTGCATTTGCACCGCAAAGGGCGTTTGCGGCAGCTTCGAAGATTTGGATCCGGACACTTACGTCGGTCTCGCAGACCTAGATGAGAGCGCGAGTCGCGAATGCATGTTTCGCATTAACGTTTCCAGCGACGCGGAGCTCGAGAGGATGAAGACGTGTACACCAGGTCAAGTCGCTGACATGTACGCGACGACATTGGTAGAGTGCGCCAGCAAGGTGGATCCACCAGTGACGAACCCAGTTCCAAGTGCCGCAGCCGCAGAAGAAGAAGCGAAGCCGATCGAACTGTTGTGGCTGAATCTGGGAATTCTGGCGCAAAATCTGGTGAACGCCTTGAAGACCATGAAAGAGGCCAATGCCCAAGGGAACATGGCTTTAGTTAAGGCGAATACGCTCGATCAAATCTATCTGACTTTCAGTTTCACATATACGTTGGAGATGAACAAGGACGCAACAGCACAACTACACACCTACATTTGCTCTGCAAGAACTCTTCTAATCTCTCAACTAAACGAGGTGGTGGCAGCCAGGGTCGACCGGGCACAGGCGGAACGAGTCGTGCTTCGTCGCGGCCTCCTAGCATGTACGGAGGTAGCATGAAAGGCCCTCCAAATGCGGTAGCAAACTCCCACATGACGTCGAGTGAGGAGACCAAAATCGTAGAAGCTGGCGCTTCGATGGCGTCGAAAATGAAGGCTGTGGGCGAAGAGGTGGAAGAATTGTGGTTCGAAGACACGCAACTAGATATGAGGACTTTGGCGAAGTTTGTCGGCTTCACAGTTTTGTGTTTCTACCACATGCGAAGATGGGCCACTGTGATTCAGTTGGCGCAAGACTTCAACAGCGTTAGCTGTGGCGAGTTTTCTCCGACTTTTTTTGCCTTCATCGTTGGTGCGCAGAAAGAGGTGATGAATTTGTCTGGCAGAATTTTGAAGTTAAGGCTGGCATTGTGGATATGTTAGTAACTAAAGATGTGTTAGTTGAAATTCCGATAAATCCCAGGAAGACCTGTTTTTTCAAAGTCTCGACCGTACGATATTGTTTTGTCAAGGAGAAAGTATCACACAGTCACACGTTGTCCTTGTCCTTCCTCTAATTCCCAACTCAGCGAGGTATATCCAATCAGCCAAGGAGAAGTTCAAAACCGAGCAAGACCAAGTCCCAAGAAAGTTGTTGCGGCAGCTTGCCCTTCTCGGTCAACTCTCCGAACCGGAAAAGCTGTACAACAAACGCATCTACTACTACGAAAATTTGACGTCAAGGCAGAAGAAACTTCATTCAGCCTGGAAGCAGACGGAAGAGTTCTACAACTTGACGTACCAGCTGATCTTCTCGACTGTCCCCGCCGCCATTGAGCAATTGCGGAAGAACCGTGTCGTTTTAGCAAGGTTCATCCACCAGAAGCACGTCTATTTGCATCCGGTGAAGATTCTAGATGAGGCTCAGAGTGCGATTATGAAGCGGAACCTGGAGGACATGGTGAAGTCCCTGATTGGTAGTTACCACATGGCCGTAGAGTTGCTGCGCAAACGGCAAATGACGCTGCTAGCCACTCAAGCGAGCCACGAGTTGGGGAACCTGAAGTGGCTGGAAGGCGACAGAAAAGCGGCTGGGACCGTGTGGTCAGAGGGTGTGGATGGCGCATATCAATTCCCGGAAGCGCTGAAGTTTTGGCAAGCTATGGTGCCGAGCAACAGGTCTTTAGTGGTGCGCAGACGAGCTGTCGCCTTGGCAGCGCCGGAGGTGAAAGACGCTAGTGATGCTGGCGGTGCAGGTGCAGGAAGACGCAGATCAGCAGCATTAAGGGACGATGAATTTCTTTTTTGTGCTGACATCTGATTCTATCAAGTCTAAACAGCCATATTAAAAGGACAAGTAAAAAACGTTTACTTTTCTTCTTCTATTTTTGTCATTTCCTAGTAAACCTAATCTTCCGTTCTAATCCTCGGCGAAGCCTTACTAGACGAAGACGCCGCTCTCCATCTAGAAGAAAAAGAAGCTACGCGTGTGCGACAAGCTGCGTTTGGCAAGCGGAACCCATTTGCAGTCTACGCTAGCGAGTACGTTCCCCCAGTGGAGAAGAACGAACATGAGTTGGATGATGGAAAACCAAAGACTCATCGTTTTCTCATTGATGAACAGACAGCCTTGGAGAACAGTCTGCCGATTCCACAGGTGCCCATCGTCCCTGCGAAGACAACCGAGAGCATCGATATCATGCTGCTGACCTGCGTTTTGACGTACAAGTACAATTAAGGCATCAATGAGGCGATAGCACTGATGGATTTGCAATTACATCGGCGGCAGTAGTTCTTGTATGTAAGTAGTTATTCACATTCAGGCTATGAGTTTCTTCAGCAGCAAGTTTTCCAATTTCATATCCCAGTCCCAAATCCCCCCACCCCCCTCTAACAAAACCGCTTCTCCCATGCTTCCAACGCAACGAAGCACATGCGCGGCGCTCTCTTCGCTTACGGCGTCCTAGAGCGGGCTTTGTCCGCAATGCCGCATCCTCTGGAACTGCATTCCGAAACACCGGATTTGTCCAAGTTTGCCGCTTTCACCTACCGCATGCGCGAGATGTTCTTATCCTATAGACCCTCAGGAATGGCCATGCTACCGCCAAATAGCTGTCACGGTGGCGTCGACGGCGTTACCTTTCTCAGGACACTCGAGTTCTTCATCCAGTGCTTCCATGTGACCCAGTATCAAACAGCGAAAGCACTCTTGTTTTCACAGATTCACAAATATGTTGCAACAGATGTGTGCCGGTGTCTGGCTAGCGCAGTCCGCGGGAAGCTGTTGACTGCTAGGACGTTGTTGCAAATGGATAGGGTAGCGGACTCTTTTGGCGAGTTATTGTGCATCGAGAAGGAACAAGACTTGCCTTTGTTGCCTATCGGGTTGACAAGAGAGACTGTAGACCGTGCGACGGGGAGTAACAAGAGCTTCGCACGGAATGCGACCAGCATGCCACGTGGAAACTTCGAGAAGTTCGATCCCAACGTCCGTTTCTACCAGCCGCACGAAGCACCCTACTCAGAAACGAATCTCAAAGCCCTCGAGTGGATGGCTGGCACTTGGAGTTTGGCGGATTGTTGCCTAACCGGTGTCGACAACGCAGATCCTACGAAGTCTATGACAGCAAAGCGCAGGTTCGGTTCCGACCTTAACTACTTGTGGTTCCATTTTCTACGATGCGAACTGCTTATCAAAGTGTGCTCCTACAAGGCGTCACCGTTTCCGTCCTCAGCACCATTGGACAACCTAGCAAACTTCGTGGATGAGAGTAACTTGCCTACAGTCTCCGCGGGAATCGAAGAGTTCAATGCGAAATTGCTGCCGACCTATATTGCACTTATGTATGAGGAGGTCATCGAGTAGTTGGAGTAGTACTAGAATCATATTAATAATTGGTGCTGGTGGTGGTGCACATCTTCACGAATATCAGGTAGTTCTTCAAGAAGATGGTTTCAGATCATCTTCATTGTCAGCAAGCCGACTGCATCAGAGAGACCTCTTCTAACTCACAACAGCCCAAGTTCCTGACCCAAGCTGAGCAGATGCTTACCACAGTGTGGAATGACTGTGTGACCTTGACGTTTGCCAAAGTGCCAGCAGACGCCTTGCCAGAAGGCATGACCCCAGTAGCCGTGTTCCAAGCTCACGTGGGCTTCGAACAACTCAACGCCTTGCTCACGCAACCGGTCAAGCCAACGGAAACAGCGGTATTGAATCAGCGGGCGCAGTTATGGTCGTGAAAGTACTACTTGGCAACATCTTACTAGAGAGAAACGTACAGTAGTAGTTGAGCTTGAGTTACAGGAGTGACGAGTTAGCTTAGACTTAGTATGAACGTTGTAACCATTAGCATTTCATCTTAGTTGTAAGAACTGCTAGATGTTGTAGTTGTCGTACAGTAGTCCTCCTCTCAGATTTTCCCCGCCTGCTCCGTCTAACATCCGTCAAAGCAGCTCTAGCAGCAGCAGAACCATACATGACTCCGGAATTGTGCGAGCTGATGCTGGAAGTTCGCATGCTTATCTCCACGCTCCATGAGCAACGCGGCCAACTTCGAAGTGCAGTGGCAGAGATTTTGTACGCCCAAATGCTTTTTTCTCATTTGGCGTCAAGTAGTAGCTCAGCTGGCGCATCTTCTTCTGCTCATGGAACTCCTGCATCTTCGACTCGTAGAGTAGGAGACGTAAAGTATTGGACTCTGTTGCGGACTCGGTTATGCCACTTACTCGAACGACAGGGTCGCCAGCATGCTTGCCAGACGCAAGTGAAAGCGGGCCTGAGGGAGGCGAAATCGGACGTGCATGCACGACTGCAATTGTTGCACATCATGGCCAAAAGCTACTACCAACAAGGCCGCTTGCTCGAAGTGTCACAAGAGGGCAATGAGGGTTGCGTGCCTTGCATCCTCGAACTCTTAGACCTGTCTTACACCACGTTTCCGCAATCAGAACCACCACTTTGCGTGGTCCAGGCGAAGATGCTTTTGCACTGTGCTTTGGTACAGAATCCGACGTTCAATGCAGCGAAATACTTGTTTGCGCCGAAGTTTAAACCAAAACCGCCGGTACCCGAAGACGAAGAAGATTTTGAGGAGGTAGCACGTGCAAATGCCATGAAAATGATCTCTCCAGTAGCAGCCGAGCTTCTAGCCATTGTGGATGGAACTGCAGGAGCAGGAGCGTCATCGAGTAGCAGTTCGTCTTCTGGAGGCTTTGAGGCAAGAAAATTCAGAACGCCGTAGTCTCCTCCAGAAGCATCTTATTTGTGCTCGATGATGCGACTCGAGTACTTTTTACTAGAACATCAAATAGATTTGACTAACTCATCTAACACCGTAGTTCTTACAAGGGAAGATTGTCAACATCTTACCCTCTTCTAATACTTCTTCATCATCCTCGTCGCACGCCGGAAGCAGTACTACTGCTTCGTCTTCAAGCGAAAACGAGGGTGGTCCAGGTGGCAGAGAACAAATTGGCGGTAGCTCTGCCTCCGATGCCCTGAATAAGCGCAGTGAAAAGCAGTGCGCATTCTTGATGAAATTACTCGAAGAAGCCTCCAGGGATTTAGACGTGATACTGCACATGCAGGGAAATGATGGGGATGCGACGAATACAGACTTGAACTTCTTGTCGCATTCTCTCGGGCCTACCAGTGTGCTTTTCGCGGGCGATCGGCCAGCAGGAGGAGAAGGAGTTGAGAGTTCGGCGAATCTGACTGCTGCGACAGATCCGGCGCTGTTTGTTTCGTCAGAGTACCAATATGGTTCCTTTGGTACTGGCGTCAATAACGGATTTCGAAGACGAAAGAAGATTTTTGCGAACTTACTGCCGGTTGCAGAGCACGCCTTTGCCTGGAACAGCGACAAATCGCACAATGACGGTCGACCGTTTCCTAACGTCTACTGCAAAATCTTGCGTCTACGAACTGCGCTTGCTTTGCAGTTAGCTGACCACAAGATGCAGATCGCTGGTCGAAAGGACAGCTTCTTCGACAACATAGGCGCAGCGGACAGTCGCTCAGAGGCGCGGACAGTGGCTAGCTTCAGGGCAAAACATAGGAGTAACGCCTCATTGCAGTATTTGTTGGAGTGCGGCGAACTCTTGAAGTTCGTGGAGGCGAACTTTAAGCGTCTTCTGTTCTTTCCAACCCGCTACTTCGTGCAGTTCTGCCAGTTGAAACTGAAGTATCGACGACTAGCCATTTGCGAGCGACGAGTCCCAAGGCCATTTTTCGAGTCCACGGATCCGGTCTTAGAGTTTCATCTACGAAGTGGAGCGGTGCCGGACCCATTGGAAGTCTCGCTTTATTTAAGGGTTAACCAATTACATCCGCCACAACCATTCCTCACTCTTTTTCCAGTAGGAAAGAGGTGAGGGATGTTCTGAGGAATGTAATTCCGTAACCTCTAATTTATCGCAGTTTCATCTTCAGAACTCCAGGACCAACTAGTTTAGTACGTCCGTCCATGCGCTGGACACGAGACTACTCGCCAGAAAAATTGACGACGTTTTTGTCTGAGGTCCATTCCCTTTTGCACGTTGCTTCACGGGAGGGCGGACATCATCCGGCGCTAGCCTACGACATCTTGTTCGAAGCCTTACTCGAAATTCTCCGAGACTGGCGGCAATTCGCAGACAAATTGCCAAGATGTAACCGGTTGGCTCAGAAGGAATTGCCATTGCCGGAGTCGGATGTGGACCAAACTTAAGGCCTCATCTTGATCTAGTTGTAGTACAAATTGTACGGACAATTAAACAACTTCGTTCTTCTTCGTCTAAGAAACTGTACTGCCCGACCACAAAAACGAGATGCAGCGACCGGGTCCGGGACCTGTAGTAGACCTGGAAGCCGAGACGCCAGTGCCAGAGTCCTCTATTCTTCTTCGTAGGTTGAAGAATCATTTCGTAGGCATGGTGTATGTGGTTTTTTCAGTACTCAAAGAATTGGCGGACAGGAGGAAAAAATTGCAGACTTCAGTAGTAGAGATCGCGAGTCAGAACGCAGACGGCGGTTGCAATACCGGTTTCAAGTCCTTCTTTGCGCAGGAGATTGAAAACGTTAATGCAGGCTTCCGCGTGCAAGAGGACTTGTTTCAGCACCTTTTGCGACAGAAGGACGAGGGAGGGCTTGAGACGTTCTTCAAAGAAGGTCTTGCTAAAGTCCTGCCGCCAACGGCACTAGCTGTTCTGCAGTACAGTCTGTCGGTTCGCAAAGAAGTAGACGCCACATTAGTTATGTTATCAGCCTTTCTCCATCCAATCTCGATCTCGCTTAGCATCCCGTCGCTCCTATCCTTTTGATCCCAAGGGAAAAGCTAGGCCAAGATGGATTCAGGCACGTTCTAAGTCAGGTTTTGACGAAAGCACGCTTTTGCTTGCCGACACCTTGCATCTGATGTGTGCCAAATATTTGCCTCTCTATGAGAACGCAACAGTACTACCGAAAACGTGCATCGACACGCTGAAAGTTCCACCAGCGTTGGCGTCTTCGTCGGCCACAGGTTATACGGCTCTGATGGCCAGCGGTGGTGCTCCTAGTGGAGATAGTGTGCCACCGGGTACAATCTCGGGATCCACGTTTGTCGATACGCAGCAAATCCTTCTGCATTACACTCTGCATCCCATTACTAGTGACGCGGACGAAGACAAGCGAACGAAAGTGGAAGACGTAAAAGGCCTAGACCTGACGACGCTGGCGTGCTTTAAGATTGGATAGTTGTACTACCTGTGTGGGTGTGCACCTGTGTTGTAGTGACGTGTACCTGCGAATGCGATGTACTTCTAGCGAGGAGGGTAGTTGGAAATAATGTTGAGGATCATGTGTTCCATTGTCACGACTTGATATAGTGGTCTCATGATCAACTCAGTTGTACTTCTTGTAGATGAAGGAGAAACATCATCATTCCGCCGCTTGGAAGTTATATACCCATTCCGAAAACGCGATCTTCTCTTGAGCTAAAACCTTCTATGCTTGTTTCTAATCCCCGCAAGGACAGTGACATTTGCTTTTTCTGGTCTCAGCGGTCCGAGGAAAGCAACGTTGTGGACTACGGCGAATGTGCTTGCAGTTGTGTCATCCTCCTGCGCGATTTCGCTGTGGTCTACAAAGTTCGAGGCTTCATCGACCGACAGAGAGTGCGTCGTTGCTACGACCTATGGGCAGTAATGCAGAAGAACGCTCAGAGCCCTGTGCTAGAGGGCTTCACGAGGAAATGCTTCGTTGAAGTTTTAGCGGCATTCTGCGATTGCTTCTTTGACAGAAGGCAGATGCAGTTAGAGGCACTACTACCGCCAAAAGAGGATGCAGGGATTAGCAATGAAGCGGCACAGATAGCAAGAAATGAAAGAAAAGGATTCACAGAAAGGTATTAAACTATAGGTAAAGATGAGTTCTTCGAATTCATGATTTTGATTTCAACATAATCCTCTCGATTGAACTTTTCCTACTTTTTCTGAAATCGTCCTCCAGGTCCGACGTCGTTCAAGACCATTTTGAGGACTTACCGGAGATCGAGGAGGAAGCGCCGCCACCTCCTCCACCACCCCCAAAGCCTAAGCAGAAGAGTGGAGAAGAGATTAAAGAAGAGTACGATGCGCGTGCGTCCACTGCCATCGACGTTCTACTCGACAGCATCGGCTACATGCCGAAAATTGACACCTACACGGGAGAAAAAGTCGCCAGCGGGGATGACGGGGAAGTCTTATGGTGATCAAAGTTGATAGAGATGGTCTACCTCTACCTCTACCTCTACTGTAGTTAATACACCTAGTATCTTCAATGATCTGTATCTGAATTTCCGTTATCTTCTCCAAAATCATCTCGACCCATCTTCACCCTCAAGCACATCTCTAATCACCGAATTAGACCGCGATGTTTTGGAGCCAGTAAATGCGAAGAAGGTCATTGACAGCGTAGTAACCCTCCTGTGCCGCGAGCGTCGATGCGTCTCCACCCAGCACAAGGATGTGAGCATCTTTCTCCGTAGTTTCTTGCCTGAAGAGAGTATGGAAATCAAAGAGGTGAGATACTACTGAATATTATGCTCAGGAGCGCGAGCACCATCGACGATCATGCAAGAAGTATATTGCTTTGTATAGAGAAAGAAATAGTAGTAGAGGTGCTGATGTTGAACAAATTCTGAAACTTAATCAGAGTCTAAGTCTAAAAAAAACAATGAATACAATTATACCGTCAACAACTCACAATCAAGAAGTTACAGAAAACAATTCCGCGTTCGTCCCTTCCACTATTCATTCTTTGGAAAACACTGCAAATTACAAGCTGACCTATTTCCTTCATAAGCAAACAGTCATTTTAACCCTCACATGAGAAACAGCGAGAAGTAAGTACATTATGAACTAGTAAATACTTGTATTTGAACAACAACAGTAAGGAGGTCGTGTTCAAACAACAACAACAACAACTACAGGTAGTTTCGACTAAGGCATGTTTCAGTGATGTCGTGATGTTACTGTTACATCGATGCTCAGATGAGAAAATACAAAATGAAAGTACTAGATGTCTATCGAACTTTTTTGTTATCTACTTTTCATACGATGAGAATGTTTGATTTTCTTGTCTATTTTTTCAGGATTTATTAATTCACAACACCTATTAATTTACGTTGGGTTGAATTGATGTAGTAGTTTTTTTATGACGTAGTGGTAGTAGCTGTAGCTGTATTGCTAGCACGAATGTGTTGTGAGATGACTGTGATGAAAGTACAAAGTTTTTTACGTAGTAGAGGACAGCGACAGAGACTCGCCGTTTAGCTGAACAGTAGTTGAAGAAGTTGTCTCCGCAAAGAAGACCCCATTCGACTTCACGACTTGGTTGTAGATTGCATCGTAAAATAAATGTCCAACTGCAAGAACTTCTCCGAAATTTCTTGAGATTTCAGAATACAACTGGATTCCGTGTTTTTGGCTCTTCAGTAGCCACTAAAGTCTGCTGGTTTACCTAGTGGACCCAGACGGTCTGTAGTCTAGAGCCCCAACACCATCTTTAGTCTGAGACCTAACCTAACCTTACTGAAAGACAAGAACAACAGGATGAAGCCACCTGATGAAGGCAGCCACTCGGCGTCAAAACTCAAAATTGGACACTGAAGAAGCGAGATACCCTCGTCTTCCTCGTCTGCTTCTTCTTGCTCAACAGAAATCACATGTTCGTGCTACGTTCTTCATATGGTAGCGGATAACGTCGTAAAGAGGCTCCTCTAAGCATCTAGTTTGTCAGTTCTACGCCGTGGTCCTGTTTGTCAGTTCTGGTCCTGGAAGAAAGCATCTACTTCTTGACTCAGCTAGCTCTCTGGACACTAGTTACAGTTAGAAGAAAGTGCAACAACGCTCTTGTATGGTAGTTTCGTTTATAGTGTTTGGTCTATACAGCAACAGCTCTGGCTGAGCCTGAAGAAATTCATCTGAGATAGAAAGAGCAAGAATTATGGGTCGTGGTCCTGGGTTCGATTACGTTGGCTGTGGATACGAAGCTGCGCGAGGAGGCGCGATAAATAGCGGCTTCCTCTTGCTCTTCGATTACGTGCAAACGCAGAGACCCATCACCGCACAGAGAGCCGGAACATTCTTCGCAGGTTGTTTTCTCTATCAGGCTTTGCAGTGTCCGCTCGAGGCCTACACGCGGAGACGGTCGTGCACGCACAACTTTTTCGCTGGCGGATTACTTGGTGGAATGGGTGTGTATTACCAGCAAATAGGCGTACCGTTTGTCTCCGAGAACCTATTATATGGCAGAAGTAGACCTTTTCCGTGGCTTAGGCCGTGGCACGCTGGTTTTGCTGTGTATGGCGGCATAGCGATGACATTCGCTGCCCTGATGGGGAAACCCTTCTGAACAAGATGTAGAATTGTAGATCTACTTCTCATCCCCTGTTTCTTCGACTAAAAGGTAGGAAATTTTGAATTCCGAATCCGAAGAGGACGAGGCGCAGGCTTCCTGAAGACTCTGGCACTCCTCGTTGTTCTTAATTGAACTGAACCGTAGTCCGTGTCTGTTTGGTGTTTTTCCATGTTGTCGAGAGTAGAATCTCGCTCAAACATGTGTCTTCTGTAGGCGGTTCTGGCTCTGTGATAATCTCTGTGAGAGATCTCTGTGAGAATGCATATGCATGCATCTACGTTGCTACAAAGTCTGTGTGGCTGTGGCACGAAATCTGTTGGAGATATGATTAGTTCTGGTAAGAATCAGAGTCAGAGAGACAATTGTACTTCTACGTGTCTTATCATATCATCATCTGTGAGTGTGTGGATCACCTGTGAAGGTGAAGGAGGGTCGTGAGAATTCTTAGATGTTTCCACTCGTTTATCTGTTTTGAGTACGTAGAGTGAGGAGGTATAGACGCATGCTCCTCACCTTTTTCAAAGAAAATATTCAAACTGAGCGAAGTGAAATTTTCGTTGCTTTCCTTTACAAACAAAGTCAGGAGATAAAGATCCTTTTTTTATGTGCGGATTCTTTCAGAACACCAAGACCTCCCACCAATTTGTAGACGCTAGTCGTAGAGTAACAATAAATGCCCCAAGGCACGATACACAGATAAAGTGTGAGCTGAGTGAACATAAGGTCTCAAGCTCTTGCAGTCTTAATAACTTTCTGGTTGAACAACTACATCTACAAGGGAAAGGGTCAGCCTTCTGAAGTGTGAAAACTCATTTTGAGATTTTTTTTCGAAGAAAGTAATGTCTAAATTGATGAAGATCAATAAAATGCTCTTCATCTTTTTAGAAGGTACAATTAGGCTGAACTACCTCAAGGCTACTTGACCACGTAGCTTAAGAGGGCGCCTGACATGACATGACCAAATGGGACGAATCTTCAGATCGTCTGGGCGATCGCGATGCATCAGTAGCCGTTCGTGCGCGTCGCGCACCGCTGCTAAAGTCGCATTCGGCACGGCGGTTGGTGTGTCTGCGGTTTCGTTCAATACCACTGGTGAGGTTACAACGAAAAGGGCGAGACTCCAAGATGAAGCTGAAGTCGCGAGCATGGTCCAGAGCTTCGACAAAGCTGCCTACATATCCAAGCATGGGGAAGATCAAGTGAGGACTCACCTGAAAGCTCATAAGAAAGAAGAGCCAGTCGACGAACGTGACTTCGATGCGCAACTGGCAGCCACGATACTTGAGCGATTTGGTCAAGCGCGTAACCGCATAGAAGAAGTAGTAAGAGCGTTTGGCCCTCGCATGGAATCGAAGACAAGCACAGAGGAACACATGAAAGCCCTTTTCACTGCAAAGGAACACATGAAAGCCCTTCTCACTGTTGTTAAGAGCTTTCGCGGTGAACTCAAGAAGAAGATTGCTCGGGAAAGAGAAAAAAAGGAGAACGCGGAAAACACAAAAGCGCGTCTAATCCGTGATAATATAGTTGTAAGTGAAGCAGGAGTTCTTGCAGGAGGGACCAGCAGCCTGGACTTGGAGTCGCAAAAGCTCGTGAAAGTGCAGGACATCAAGGTAGAAATTAAGAAACTCGGAGTCGGAAGCGAAATTCTCAAGCTTCATAATGTGCTTGTGAAGGTAAATATTCGCATTGAGGAACTGTCCAACGATACCGCCAATTTGCGACGTCTTCTAAATAGATCTAGACGTCGTAGACGTGGATCATAGATTCAAATATCTTTGGGATGGAAGGGGATGAGGAGCATTGCTTCAATCTTCTTAGCATCCTCAAGAAAATGAAATTAATAATTAAGGCAGTCTGCACTGAACTTTGTGCGAGATTGACTGTATTGTGTTGTAATGTTGAAGATGAACATGAACAGTGATGTGTTCTTGAAGAGAGCCTCTCCCCATTATTAACCCCAAGGATGCGCATGCACCGGGCTACGCAAGAGAGAGAAAGTTCCGACTATGACCTTTTCCTGTTCCAGTTAATATAGATGAGGAAATATGTCATGGAACAACACTGACTCAAGCGAGCCTGTCGTACAACTTCTACTACCAGCAGCATCTTCATAGCAAGTACTTAGACTTAACACAAAAAGAACTTGTCTACCAGAAGACACCGAATACAAGACAAGGAATTATCTACGGCTACGTAGGAAACCTCCACCAACAGTCAGGACAATGGGAAACACTTTCTGTGGCTCTTGCTGCGTTCGTGTCTTTCGTGACGCCTTCTGTCCTAGGGGATATGGTCGTCGAACGTCCTTCTCAAAAGGTGGAGAGCCGCCTACGCGTTGGACAGAAGCAGAAAAATATGTGCGGAAGGTTTCAGAAACAACAGCCACGGGAGATGTGCTTGACTGCTGGTTTTTTCCGGAGAACGCGGGTTTTTAAGGATAAGTAGTTCCAATCTCAATCATGATTATCATACAACTATGGTCATCTTCTGATGATTTTTGCCAGGCGCAGCAAACCCCCGAGTAGACTCCACTCGAGTACGACTAGGATTTCCGCAAAGAATTAATGAAGCTCTCCTCATCTCGATCTCTTCATGATCATGGATGATTACAAATACAACAATTTAGACTTGCTTTTGTTTCATCTTTCAAATCTAATCTATGCTGGGAGGCAAAAATAAGCTAGGAACAGGCAGCATTCAGAGGGCGTCGAACCGCGAAGCTTTTTTAGAGAGGCTGCGTTCCACGAAAAAATGGATCGATATCGCCGTTTTCACCATAACCGACAACAGCGTGGCAAGAATACTCAATTATGAGATACAACTAGGTTTACAACATGAGTCATTTTTACCGAGAGTGGTGAGCAAGAAATAGTAGATCTCGTTCGACGAACTCGATTTCTGCTTTTTTCTCCATGAAAAACCCACTCTTGTTTCTCGTCCCCCTAATGCTAATCGACTCCCAAAAACAAAAGGACTCTGCTTAAATCTTTATCCCTTAAGCTGAAATAGTGAAAAGCCTCCCTCTTTCTCCCTTAATGAAAGGAGCTCTTTGCACGATCCGGTTCGCAAAAAGTCCACATCCGCATTGTCACCGATGACCAGCAAGCGGCGTCGCTAGGCTCAGACGTCTACGAGCTCGCAGGACTTGGAATCCCTGTCATTCACGACAATGACACGAGTTTATGGTGGGACAATATTCCGAACAAGAATATGAATATGTTTGAAAATACTGTCACGAACCTTATGCTTATGACCAATAAATATGACGGTGATTTTGTTGAAGTTCAAAGCTCATCCCTCGGAATACAGCACGCGCTCCTTGATTACAAAAATGAACACTCTCTTCCTTCGTTCATCCTCTGCTCACATGCATCACAAGTTTGCGGTTATCGACGGCGAATACGTGCTTACAGGGTCCTACAACTGGAGTCGCGCAGCGTTCACGCGGAATCGCGAGAACATGATTCTGTCCAATGATGTGCGGATGATTCGAGCATTCATGGCAGAGTTTGAGCGGTTGTGGTCTACTTTTCGCCACAACAGATTCTTCGCACCACCTGATAGAGTTGCTCCTGCGTCGGAGCCTCAGTTAAGGATGAGACGACATCATACTGCTCTGGAGAAAGAGTCAGTCGTGTCAGACTGCGTTGCGGGTGCTCCTGTGTTGAAGATGTCTCTTCACTACCTATTTCCATACTCTTTTCAAAAATCGATCTCACTCTCAACAGTATGTATTTGTATGAATCATAAAAAACACCAGCAGTACTTCTTCCAGCACTTCTAAGCACCCAGCCTGCATTCAAACCAGATGTGAAGGATGGACCATCGGCCATGACCATGGGAGACTTTCTACCGAGCACGCAACAGCAAGGAGAACGCACGAGAAGTAGATCCGTCGAGCCCTCTAGTACAGCATCTAGAAGAAGTTCCGGAGGTTACGGATGGTCATCAAACAAAGGCGGAAACGGAGGGAGGAGTAAATCATCGAATGCAGCTGCCGGTGGAGGAAACGGAAAGAATACTAGAAAGTTATTAAATAACTACAATAAATCTAGTACAGAAGGAAAAGGAGGAACACCGATTTCGAAAGACGATAAAGGACGTGGAAAGCCATCAGACCGAGGAGATCGAGAGGCTAGTGGTGAATACGTTGCTGTGACAGTCGTCGGAGGCTCAGGGTCGTGATGGTGATCGTCACGGCCACTTGTTGTTGAGGGAAAATAAACTTAAACATTGTGAATTTACAAAGTACGAAGAAACATGAAGGTTTTGACATCGAATTTACTGTAGGTACGAAGACTCCACCTCCAGCATGATGCTGACGTGGCTTACTACGAAGATTATATCACGCTTACTGCGAACAAGATTATTGTTGTAGTTCTAGTTGTTCCCATGTAGTTTCAGTTTGAGTTTCAAGAACATTCGCATCAATTGATATTGCGACACCTGCTCCATTAAACAGTCACGATCCTCAACAACACGACAAGATCGCAGAATACGGATCTTCATTATTCTCAGATGACAGGAACTGAAACAGGATGGGTGGAACAATGCGAGATCACTAAGTACTTACCTAAAAAAAAATGCAGAATAGAATTTTCATTTCGATGATCAATGTTCAGAAATAAATTTCCTTTTTGTACTAGCCGTCTAGAGATGTAGTTGTAGTCCATTTTTAATCAATGACTCATGTGTAGTTTTCAAATACATCTGTGGTGAGATAAAGCAAACCTTGTTTTGAATACTTTATCATCTTTATCAATCAGCCAGGGGTGGACGTGGAGCGACTTTACAACGACTCACTCTTGGTATGATGATTCAATGCGTGCATCAGATGAAGATGAAGCCTACTATGCACCAGACAATTTCTCAGACTTAGATAGCTTCTTCTTTGTTTCTTGGTAGTAGTACGAAGACATCAAGAAAAAAAATGCCATCTAGAGCTCGAGATGCCAGACGCCGGGGGGGACAGCAGCGGTCACGAGCTGCTTCTAGATCTAGTACGATAGGAGGAAGAGGAGAAGATGAAGCAACTATAAAGTCCTGTACGTCGTCATCGTCTGGTACAAAAATTTGGTATCATCGAACCAATTCGTTTTGGCCCGGCTGCCATGTGGCTTCTTGGGTCGATGAGGAGATTTTTACTGGACAAGATAAACGAAAAGCGGCTGCTGTCCAACTCCTCGCACATAGTAATTTTCAGCAAGGTCTCGCACATAATGATCATTCAGGTTTCTGTACTGGAGAAGAAACATCAGCAGTACGGCGAGGCACGACCACAACACCAGGCGATGTACTAGCTGAAAAGTTCACGAAAACTACGGGACCCGAGGATGAAGATCGCGGACAAGAAGAAAGTTCAGTAGTATTTTCAAGAGAAGTGTCCGCTACGTCTACGCCTTCTTTTTCATTAAGTGACGAGGGCCCCTTAGGTTCTTTGGACGAGGCAACTGAGAAGTTTCTCCGGTTACCGCTTTTTCCAGGTTCCCTGAAGTTTTTATCACCTGCGGAAGTGGAAGAGGATCAACAGAGCGCCACTTGTTTTCGTGATGCTTTGGAATGCTCATCTTTAGCCGAAAACTTTGGAGACGAATGGCTCGAAGAAGAGCTCCCCGACTACGCTATACAGGAGGATAAACTCATCTTGCTGAACACATCGGAAACAGACTCGGTCTGCTTTCATCTGACTTTAGTGAGTTCCAGGAGTTCCAGTTCCAAAGGTCTAGTTGTCGAGGATTCGCCACACCCACTGGTTTACCTCACTGTTCTGGAAAGAAAGGAGAAGAACTTCAGCAAAGCCTTGAGCAGGAAGTTCTATCTGAAAAAAAAGATCTACCTCGATAGCAGAAAAGCAAGCATAATTGCTGACGATGGAGAAGAAGATCATGCTGACCAGCAGGTCCTCGTTGACCCGACAACAACAAGAGATACGATGTCAATCCTTCTGTACATGCCACCAGGAAGTATAGTCGAGGGCCTTCACCTCGTAGACCCAGAAATGACAGAGATTATCACGAATATTCTACCACTGAAACAACTAAAACGTGGAGGACCGCGGGGGCAGGATCATGATGAGGGGAAGGAAAACGAATATCTACGTTGTCTACAACATGTTACAACAAGGAAGACGAAGACTCAGGAGCAGCAGAACATGGAAGAGGCCAACGACTCTCAACAGTCAGAAGAAGAAGAAAAACAAGCATTTTTCGATTTCGACTTGTTCCCACTCTTATCCTCCATCACTCCGACGTTTGGACTGCCTACGACTTTTCTCTGCTCTCAAAGTTGGGCTGGTTCTCTTACGCACTGCGCCGATTCTAGCACATTTTACGCTGTGGACTTCGATGCACCTGTGGGGACGCCGATCATTTCTCTCGTGGATGGGCGTGTGAAAGAAGTCACCCAAGGTTCGGACGCGTGTTTTGGTCCTGATGTGCGAAATCTTTGGCACTGGAATGAAGTGTCGATTGAATTTGAAGAAGATACGCTTAGTACGACTACAAGTACAAGTAGAGCTGGGAATGGGAGAACGTCAACATCTAGTCCTCGATCATCCCCTTCTGCAACATCGTCTGCTTCTATAGCCACAGGCATATCAAAGCTGCTTCTCCTCGAGTACGTGCATGTCGGTCGTGTACTTGTCAAAGAAGGTGACTTAGTGCAAAAAGGGCAAGTAATCGCCTTCTCAGGACAGAGTGGCTTTACACCAACGCCGCACTTGCATCTGCAATTGACTAGACGGGGAATGAGGAAACAGAGAGACAGCCACCATGAGGATGAGGAAACAGATGAGGAAGGAGGAACGATAGAAGGCCTTCCTTTTACGCTGAGAGGAGAAATGTGTCGCCAAGGGGTACGATATGAGGGCGAAGAAAGACCTTTCTCTCCGACACCAGACGCCTTTAGTGATAAATCCCTCCGTTGAGATATTCGAGATTCCAAAAGACTAAAGAGGTAGTTATCACGACATTAGAAATTAGACCCCTAGGGCTTCGCTCGAGGTTTCTGCTACCTCTCTAGACGTTTCCAGACTGTCCGGCAGTCTTGTCTTGTAGTCTTGTCCCGTACTCCTGTCCCGTAGTCTTGTCTTGTACTCCTCTCCTGTACTCCTCTCCTGGCTCTATTTTTCATGCGTTTTCCCGTGTTCCAAAAGAGGTAGTTATGACGACATTAGAAATTAGAAACCCACCAGCCCTCAAACAATATCTTCTCGACAAAATACGAGTCTTAGTCTACGACTCCCACTTCACCAGGCGTTTACAACTCAACTCATATTGAATAACTATTCGTGTTCCTTCGACGAGCAGCACCACAGAGGTGCTCGTGATGTTATTGCACTGCCTGCTCATCATAGTATAATTGTTCGTACTTCTTTATCGACGACGTGCCTTCGTGATGCATTCTGTAGTCGGATCCATCTTTCTTGCATAGATTGGCCACCAAAGCCTACCGTTCGGTTTTCGGATTCATCGTTAAAGCCTGAGAATGAGAAAACCGGAGCGAAATAAGATTGAAAGTGAACAAGTCGAGAGAACTCTTCGTGTGAAGTGAGTGACAGACCCTGATGCCCTGAAAGTTCGCGTATCTTCCCCGTGAAAGGATTGAAAATTGAATATTACTGGTAGCCAAAACCTAGAGGATGAATGTATGTGTAGCTCGGGAATATATTTTGTATGACAATACTGCCCGTCGGCAGTAATATAAGGAGGTAACCGGACTCCACCTGCCGCCGGTTTGCGAACTGGATAAAACTGGGATCACCCTTCCGGCGGTCTCGGCATACAAAAAAAAAGCTAGGGCCAGGGTGGAGTGCATGAATCATGAAAACATTTTTTGTTTCGACTCTGGGACTGGGTATCGCTCCGTTTTACGATATTACCAACAGACAGACTGCCACGCACTCGCAAGTTTCTAATACTAATAAAAATCGATAGAATTCGACTTCGAAGCTTGAAAATGAAATTGAATCTTCGATAGCAACATTTCATCATAGCCAAAGAAGATACAACTGGCTAGGACTCCATCTCGGTCGACAGGCATCCTGCTCTCCCAGAGGAGGCGTGCTCGGGACTTTTCCTCTTTTCCGTCGAAAAATTTTCGACTAGAAGAACGATAGGAGGGACATCAAGTCCTCGTCCTCACCGGATACTTAGCATCAAACGTCTTCTGAACATGATCGCGGAGGAACAAATCAGAAACGAAGCAAGATAGCAACGCTCGTCTGCGGTGAAAAGAATCACGGGTACGAAAGCATCGTATCGTTAGCAGAGGTACCAGCAGAAACTGTAAAGAAGAGCAGAACATCTCCCTGTTGTTCTTGTTCCGACCTTCGTGTCGTTAGACCTTATCCTTAGCAGAACATCTTCCTGTTGTGTTAGGTCCGTCGACGACTGCAGGTTGCTACCCCGTTAGGTCGGCGACCTCTCCAGAGAGAAAAGAACGGCACAGAGCTAAATCAACGCCGACAGTTTTATTTTACTAGCAAGACGCCACAAATGAAAATCCGAAGAAACAGGTCCGCTCCTGCATAGCAGTAACAACGTCTTTCTTGTTACATCAACACGCAATAGCAAGATTATTACGACTTCTGGACGATTTTGATTACGGCAACAAGTGGCCTGGTCCAGTACCAGTGCTTACGACGTGGAGGGCCGTGAACAAATAGATCTAGAAGATCTCTGCCAACGAAGCCAAAAATGCCACCAAAAGCGAAGCCAAAAGCAGCCGCAGGTGGCGGAGAGGACGAAACATGGGACAACTTCCAAAAGTTTTACACAAAAGCAATGAAAACGTATTCATAACCGGTAGTTGATATGTCCGCTATGTATCGTCTAACATCACCATCATAACCGGTTGATTTTCCCTCGTAGTGAGTGTGAGTCGTAGTGTTACCTCCCTTCATGTGATGTTGACATAAGTAAGTAAGTAAGTGCCTCTGACTTCTCGCCACGACCTCGCGAGGACATCCCTCTACTCAACATCAAACATCACGACAAGGTACAACCTCCAAAGGGGTCCCGACGTCGACAAGATAATGGAAAAATTTGACGAGGGCATGGATCCCCTTCAGATAAGATGGAACTTTACAGAGCCATTAGACAACATGGGTTTCAAAATACTCATGCAGTGCCTTAGGGAAGCAGAGTACTGCTACTGAATTGATGTTTTTTCCGCGATGAAGAAGACTTTCATTTTTGATGATGAGTTCTACGAGTCTTGCGCACGTACAAATACTACCCGCCGTCTTAGAAACGGCCCAACTCAAATTCACTGATGCATAAAGACAGCTACACTTAAACACAGCTACACAGGATCTAGGATTTTTAGCAAGTTTCTTTCCAATGCCAGCCCACTTCTCCGTTCACACAAACTGTCGATACCAGGTACAAGAAGATAACCAATATTCGGTTATGGAAGTGTGATCCGAAGGGTGACGAGTCAGTGCGATCAGTATGCGAGTACCTAGAGTCACCGAATGGGGTCGTCGTAGAGGACCTCCAGTTCACGGACAACAACATAACAGACTTGGGATGCGAATTCCTTGGTACCGTTAGAGTTGGATTCGTTCCTTGCTCTTTCTTTCACAATAGTATGATGAACTTGAACATGAATTAGAAACGAACGCTCAGAATTTTGAACAACTCCGATGAACAATCCACCATCAAACCCAATTTATTCTCATCTTCATGACAACATTTCGATTTTGAAATAGGAATTCGTCTTTCAACATTACCATGCCCTGCCCTCATTCCCTGCCGCCGAGCGCTAGACCAGAAGGAATGAGGGGAGGGCATGGTGAAGGAACATAATCAACATGTATCTTCTAGAACATCGTCACCAATCAGCACGATGACATTTATGCTCCTTCACCATGCCCTCCCCTCATTCCTTCAGGCCTAGCACTCGGCGGCAGGGAAAAAGTTGCGGGAAAAATACAACTCGTTCCACCAGTGTCGTATTTGCGACTCGACTATAACCACATAGGAGCAAAAGGCGTGCAAAAGCTGTCATTAGGACTGGCACAGAATAAGGTACTACTAACTTACCGACTTGCTGTGTGTACTTTGCAGGTGATACAACAGGACCAGGCGAACGAGTTTCTTATCAGTATCACGGTGCCTACAACTACTACTACAACACGCTTCTCGAGTACTGAAAGTAACACCTTACATTTTTTACCAAAATAAATCCTTCCACTTTCATAGTCGAGTAAAAAATCCTTACCACGAATACACCACGACCACAGACCCTCCGCGCCTTGTCCTGTCAATACTGTGCGATAGGACCCGAGGGCGGGCAGCCACTCGCCTGTATACTAATGTATAGGGAGAGTGAGATGGAGCAATTTCTTATGCGTGGAAACGAGTTAGGAGATATGGGAGCCCTAGCGTTACTTCGTGGTGTCAGGAGGAATCAGAAGCTTAAGCTTCTCGATGTAAGCGACAATAAGTTCACAGAAAAACCGGAAATTCTCGACGTCCTCTTGGACTGCTTCCAGAATAATCTATGTACTATATGTAGATGATGAAGATACAACTTCAACTAAGTACTTACTTATTTTTTCACTTCTTTTTAGTCTTTGTGTTTGTCTTCTACCACAGTACGAGTACCTACTTGCTCGAAGTGTATCATTCACCTTCCACACCACAGTGCTCGAAGTGTATCGATTAGTGGGGAACCAGATATCGGACGTTGGTGCGCAGAAGCTAATTCACGGCATGATAGGGATGAGCCATTTGAAGGAAATCCAAGTCCCCGAAAGTTAAAGCTCAAAACTCTTCATTTCTACCAGCCATTTCTCATTCTCTCCATTTCCTTCTTGGAATTGGGCTTGGGAGAAATGTTAATCTACGCAAGAAGAAATGAAGTGTTTTGAGCTGCTCTAAGAAAGGTGTTCCCAGTCAACCTACGAAGCGCTCGAACAAGCCTTGGGAGGAGGCAAAAAGAAAAAAGGCAAGAAAGGGAAGAAGAAGTAAACTTGGTGCGAAGAAGAAGAGGAGGTCACGGAATTCTTGTGCATCTTGATCGATGTCAAGATCGAGTCTAAGTTCTATGGATTTCGATTTTTAGCTTTGGTTCAACAGATAACGATTCTTCACGGCCGATTTCTTGAAGCATTCTTGATGGAAACCCGTTCTTGATTCTTATTGATTCTTTCACTACGAGAAAAGCAAGCTGAGGAGAGTCAGCACCAGAGGCTGATTTCCTGAAGTACCCGTCTTGTTTACACAATCATGTGGATGATATTTGTCACAATGTGGATGTGCGATGATTCAGAGTTGTCCTACGCGACAAAAAAAGTGAATGGGAGGACACAGACTAGAGCTGCAGCCGTGTGTCTTCGAATTCACTCTGATGTACGTCTTTTCTTATAATAAAAATATACATTAAGGTGTGCCATCTTTGTGTGAGACCCATCGTGTGTGCCATCTATGACGCCCTTATGGCAGTCTGCACTGAACTTTGTGCGAGATTGATTGTATTGCATTGTAAGTCTGTGAGAAAAAAGTCCATCTTTTCCAACATCGGTCAGAGAGTTCCAAGCTAGTACAAGTTGTGAACCTACAAATAATTATCGGTTGAGGATCTCGAAGATAAGAATCCACATCTGAATCTGTCGCGTTGAGAAAATATTGAGATCTGGTACTGATATCAATCTCGGTTGTAGTTCAGCAGTTGACAAGAGCGACCTCATAAACAAGTAGCAGTAGTAGAGTTCCACATGATCTTACAGATCCAATGACCCTCGATTCTCAACTGCGAAGCTGGCCTGACAGCCGGAGACCTCCTCCGACCTTCTACAGAGCCACACATTAACTATATGGATATGCTACATTCTTCACTCACAGGTGCTATGTTTTCTATTTCTCCTGCCTTCAAATTCAAAAAAATTAAAAAGATGAACATGAAGACGAAGATAACGGTCATACATAATTATCTGGGCAACAGCACTCAACTACATGATACAGAATAGTAGATTCACATGAAGAGCAGTAGCCTAGTAGTTATTTCATCATTCATAAGTATGTACTAGCTAATGAATAAGTACTAGAAGCAAAATAGTAAGAACTTGAACTACAACATACAGAATCATTGTTGTATTAAGAAGTAAGGAACAAGTAGAAGCACTACAAGAACAAGAACCAAGAAGCGACCCAAGAAAGGCAAAGTGAAGGAGCAAAAATTAAAATATGGCATCAGTATCAGAGGAAGCTGCAAGTGCAGGTGCAAAGGAAGTAGGTGAAGGTGCAGAGGAAGCTACAAGTACAGAGGAAGCAGGTACAACAGGTGCAGAAGCAGAGGAAGCTGCAAGTACAGAGGAAGTAGGTGTAGGTGCAGAGGAAGCTGCAAGTACAGAGGAAGTAGGTGTAGGTGCAGGAGAGGAAGCTGCAAGTACAGAGGAAGTAGGTGCAGAAGCAGAGGAAGCTGCAAGTACAGAGGAAGTAGGTGTAGGTGCAGGAGAGGAAGCTGCAAGTACAGAGGAAGTAGGTGTAGGTGCAGAGGAAGTAAGTGTAGGCCTGGACGAACTTACTACGGTCTACAGCGCAGGTTTCACGCCGTTACCACGGAAGTATGATTACTATTCTGACAGCTCCCACGTTGACTGGAGCAAAAGCAACGGCGGCTTGTGGATCTTTGCGATTGTACTTTTTTTACCTGTGCTAGTTGTTCTACGTAGTACGTATCTTCATGTCATTTTTTTTTAATTTTTTACTATCTAGGTTGTGTAGCAGTAGCTCCTGTTGGTTTGCTACTGGTAAATGCTTGTTTTTTACTCCCCATTGTTTAGTACATTTAAGATATTAAGACGAATTCTACAGCTCCCACACAACAACTCCTGTCTTTGTTTAGCAATATCTTCGCAAAACCACGTACCAGGTCTTCCAGTCGCTGGTTTTTCTGGTGATGATAACGTTTATTGCAGTGGTGCTCATAGGGAAACGGGGAAAGAAAGGCGCGCCAAGGCCAAAAGCATCTATAATACCAGACACGGCCAAGGCACTTCTGTCAAAGTCACAGGCGATGCACGATCAAAGGAAAGGGAATCGTTATGGCTCCTCATGAACAACATGAAACTAGTATTACTAGAAGATACTCCTACAACGAAGTTGTGCTAGTTGTTCGATGGTCGTCATAATAAAAATTCACACCATATTTATTTATAAGTAATCTCTTTTCAAGTTCAACTAGTACGTACTACTGTACACACAGATACAGTCACCGGGTGGACGAGCGCTACTACGATGAATAGCAACAACATTTATTTTCTCTAATGAAAGAAATAAGTCGCGAAAAAGAACGAGTAAGCGACGCGGGCGCAGACGTAAAGCCGAACACCTGCGAAGAGAAGCCTCGCATACACTTACTTAGAAGTGACCCACTTGTTCTTGCACGGAACAAACACGACCTCAAATTTTTTTTTGAGTTAGCATGTGCATGTGGATCAACCCGTGCAAAGGCAACAAGTCACATGGCAGCTTGATCAAAGAAACGATGAACATGATGTAGCTGATGCATCTTCATATTATGTAACAAAAATCTTATGATGTTCGTTGCAACTGCAAGAAGAGTAACATGATTGTTGTTCACACATGGTATTTGTTCATTTTCACACGCGCTCGCATATAATGCTACATGTGCGAGTGTACATCAATTACCTTGTATGAGTCATGTTCTATCTAGTACTTGCTACCTCTACTTCTTTTGGATCATTGATTCACATTCACTTCTGATTCATCTCTGACGATTCTATGCTACTTTGAAAATTATATGTTATGCATAATATCCCCCACCATGTCCATGACCATACTAAGGAGAGTCGCAACTACGTACTTGTCACTCGACCATGAGCGCCCACGCTTTTTTATCTCAAGGCACCAGAGGAGATTTTTGGAGAAAGTAGATAAATAAAAATAGCTATGTCGTGCATGTTGCATGTTGGTTATCAACAACAACATCACACACTCTATACCTATAGTACGAAGTAATCGGTCTTCTGCCTTTCCTAATACGGCGTCTACGTACTCTAGAAGAGTAAAACGGCATGTCTAGAAGGGTAAAGCGAGGAAGAGGAATCACAGCATCGGCCTTCATATACAGCATCGGTACTGTGGTATATTGAAAACATCGGTTTTCGAATTTTTCGATCGTGCATCGGAGTGAGATGAAGGAACACTTGTGGAACAAACAAGTGAGACGCAGAGTTCGGTATTAGTCGCAACAAATGCGAGAACTACTTAGCAACCTGCTATTGCCATGGTTTGACGAGTGATCGGAGACTAGAGAGCAGACCCGCGAGTCGGTTATTAGAACCGCAAAAACCTTCAGCTCCAACATGTTCACATCGTCATTCGTCGGTGATTGCTTATGTTGATGTTGATCTGAAATGTTCGGTGAACAGGTCGGTTCTGTAGAAGAACTTATTATATTGAAAACCTCTTTGTCTTTTTCCATTGCGCATCGGACGAGTCCGAGTGAGCATCGATGACGAATGATCGGTTGGGAGGGATCTGCGAGTCGGTTATTAGAATCGCAAAAACACTACATCGTCATTCATGTTCATAACATTTCCCTGCTACCTTGCCCAATCCTCATCTTCACATTGTTATTTCTAGATTGAATATGAACTGTACATCAGCTTTCGGTTTGTTCGAACACGAATAGTCGAAAACAATATTCCTTGCTAATAATCGATTGTGATATAATTCAGTACTTCTAGTAGTAGACTACTCTTACTTGATGTGTTAGAGTCAGCTCAGGCACAGACATGATCTTGTTCTTGACCTTCTAGTTCTAATAAATTCAACTTCTTGATGTGAATGTGTGTGTGTGTGACATCGTCTTGATCTAGTTAGATAAATTGTGAGAGATCTGAGCATTGAGGAGGAAGGACGTAAGATCTCGACTTCCATATACATAGTTCCTGTCAAGTACTTGATCTTGATGTTGACGCATTAGAAGCGAAAAAGAGTCAGAAGATTTCGAGTAGTTGTAGTTCCAGTTGATGTGTTAGCTCAGATAATTGGCAAAGAAAATGGCGGAGGCCGTAAATATTGCATTTAATGTGGGTTATATCCCTCAACCAAAGGTTTACAGTTGGTGGACTGATTCGCCATCCGAGTGGCAGCTTGATTCTATTTCAAGAATCGTGGCAATCGTATTTTTAAGGCTGTCATAAATTTTTGCTTTCTAATGTATAACTCCCCGGGCCCGGGTGCCCCGGGAGACGTTAAGGAGGGGAAAGGGATACTTTAGGGACGTGGGTGGGGGTGAATGGTTTCACAAGGTGAAACGGGCGCCCGAAGGGCGCGCACTCCCCTCCGCGCTGCGGCAAAGGGGAGCGGGGGCGCGCAGGCTTTAAATACAAGAGGAAGGTGGCAGTACTGCCACCGATTCC